TCTCATATTTTAATAGGTTTCCGTGGCGTCGGTCCGGTAATTGTGCGTAGTTATCTGGTGAGGGATAAATTCAATATAGCGATGCGAGGGCCGGCCGCGGTTCCCTCCTCCCGGCCCGGTGATAAAGCTTAAATCAACACACGAAGTAATTACAAGCGCAGAACACTTCATCACAGATGCGAATAGTGATTAACTAACGCCCGCCTTCGGTTTCTGCTTTGTAACGAGCCACGCAAACTCCAGCCGAATTCAATGCTTTCGCGTCTAACAACCTAACTTAACAACGCACTTTGTTTATTTTCCGCGTGAAAGGTTAATTACAATTTTAAAACTTTACACACCAGAACGTTTTTTGTTCTATTTTACGTAATACAATTAAACATATATATAAACCAAAAAATTGCAATTTTGTAAATTTTTATTTTTCTAAAATCCGCATGATAGATAAATGAAAAACTGGAAGTAGGAAATAACTTGTTCTGTAACTTTTTAAGAGTCTTTAATATAACGTTTCGCGTAGGCCGATTCGAAATACTATAAAATTGGTCATACTAACTTTTATCTACAGTTTTAGTGTGATAGTTTGAGTACTTTCCAACAGGCGGAAATGTCCACGAAATAGTTTATTTTAACCCATCAATTATGCTATTTAATTAATAAATCGATCTTCGTATAAACGTTAAACGGTCGAATCGAGCGAGCCGAATGCACAAGAGCACTGCGCCTCTGTCATTATAATATACGGCTCGGGTCCTATATAGTTTTTAATTAGTATCTGCCCACCGATCCACGAGGCCAGTATTTGTTTAACCAAATGCAAAGACAAGGGAGATTCGGGATCTGCGATAACCATAAGGAATTCCCGGCAATTTATTTTATTTGTGCACCAGCAGTTATAAGGCTATTAATACTCGAAAAACAATATTCGAGATGTGTTGAAGGAATACAATTAATTAAATATAAAATAAATATAAACTATTGATAGTATTACTGTAACACTGCTTATTTACGGCGTTTATAGGTGAATAATCTGTGTTACATTTCGATAAATTAGAAATATCCGATAAAATATTTTCTACATTTGTTAACACTACAAAATTACCTTTTTAGCTGCGAACCAAAAAAGGCCGCTCTGATTTTATCTTGAAGTTATTTACTTCCGAGTATTTTCCTGTTGCTTTGTTGTAATAGAGAAGTTGGGAGGTTGCGTTGTAATAAGATTAATGATGTGGCTGTCAACGCAAATTAAAGTTCTCTTTAAGATTTTAATAAGGCCTTTGTTGAGCGAAAGTTTTGGATTTATGTAAATTGATAAGTTCACTTTCTTGAAAATGAGAGACATTTTATATTAACATTTAAATTTGACCTTTTAATATGTAAATGGAAAAGAAGGAAGAGTAAAAAATATTATTTTAATAGAATGCGTATTCGGAAGTAACAAACAACTGTAAGATCGAAAGTAATAATTCTCTTGCAAAATGCGTTACGTTTATGACAAGGATAAAGTGTGCATCTCGTTCTAAGTTTCAATTAAAATTTCATCGGCCTTCGCTACCGCCGTTGAATTGGCCCAATGAATGAGCGGTTTTGCATAAATGCCCGCCAGCTGTTTACAATAATCGATGATATGTTTTTACATTTTCAATTTATTGATATTCATTCGTGGTCGGACAATTTATTTGTACCGATAATACTTCAATGACTTCTGTTTATTTTTTATCGTCCGGCTACCGACGTGTTTATGAAAGGGCAGGCCTCGGGATCGTATATTTGCTCGAGGCTAATTATTTCTTGATCGATTCTAAACACTCGTTGGATTTCAATTTTCATTCATCGATCCTGACGTTGAACGTTAACGATAAAAAGAAACGATAACGGAAAGAACAAGGACAAAAGTGAATTTCTTATTGTTTCCTCTGTCCTCTCGATTGTGACTTACTTTTTGTTCGTTTGGGTATCCAAATGCTGTATTAATGTGAAGTTTGGAGGCATTGACTCCGGTTATAGGGCGTTGTTGGTGCAACTAACTGACGACAGCGGGCTGGGGCAGTTTTTCAAGACCCGGTGAGATAAGTGCATTTGCTTGTCGCAACACGTCGAGGCGCGGCGATCGCCTCCAGCCCGCCTCAATAGCCGCTCGTTCTTTATTTATATACGCCCTTCTGTAATTAACGATAGTAAAAAGAAATACATATATGACTGATTTATTCTATTCGATCTTTTTAGGGTTCTAAACTTGTGTTGAATTGTTTGAACAATTTATTCAAGAAATAAAGATCGATAATCTAAAGTTCTTACTCCGTATTAAAGTAAAACTCGTATAAAATAATAAATAAGTGTTACTTTTTCTTACCAAAAAATATGAAAATAAAAGCAAAATAAGTAACATTGCTTGAAAGCTATTTTCCCCGTGCGCCGCATAAATCTTACAGCGGTTTACCGGACTGCTAAACGCTTCATTGCTTTTCAACTGTTCCATTTATTTCATTTCTATGAGCTACTGAAAGTCATTAAAATATTCGAGTCAAAGTCATTCCTTTCCGTTACATTTTTAATTTTTATTAATTACCTATACGTTACCTGACATCTCTTTTATTGTTTATATGTGTAAATTGAAATACGTAATTACTTCAATACACCTGCAAACTTGTGACTAGTATCAATAAATTGAAGAAACGACATTTAAACAAGGCTTACATTTGCTTTTAAAATATTCATTAAAGTTTGTGAACCACGCTATCCATTAATAAAACGGTAAATATGGTAGCGACGGGACAAATGAAGGACTACAATCAAACGAATTAAAATTTGTCCTACATGACACATTGGCTACGGAAATAAGTATGAATGTGCGAGAAATTTATTTCTCGATTCTTTATCTTTATTTCTATATACAGGGGTCAATGTTTGTTCATTTGGCCGCCTAAAAATTTCTTAAGCAGATTTTGATGAAACTATAGACGAATGTTCTGTGGACAACAATTTAGGTTAGTGTCCATGAAATTTAAAAAAAAGTCATCTTTTCCAGCTCACTTGACAGTCCCAAATAAACTGAGGGGTTGGAGGTCACCCAAAGTTAAGGTTACTGAAAAAAATGCTCGCAATATGATTTTATTTTAATCGTTTAGACTCTTAGCCTTATAATGCCTTTACTAGCGCTTCAACACATGCCACGGATTCAGTTGTTTATAAAAATAATAGTCTAGACGTAAATTAAGCCCAAGTGAAACTATAATGCGAACGCAAACAAATAGAATTGCGAAGGAACGAAACGAAAATTGAACGAAGCGTTGATAAAATAAGAGAATTTAGGAGCAGAGCGTGAGGAATGAGACATCGACGCAAGAGTGCAGAGGCGTTGGAGCAGCTGACACATGTCATCGCGCAATTTATTAGCCGCTCCGAAATAACAGTGTCAGTGAACGTTCAAACAAAATGAAGAGACAACGCTCTATTAACGACACATCCACGGGGTGAGCCGCTAACAGGCCTGCAATTAAATTCACAATGTAGAGACAATCCACAACTTGTTACGGATACGTTAATTATCGATGTACCGTGACCGTATTTTAAGTAATGTTTATGAATGATTTTATATTCGATTTTTTTAAGCGTTATTTTTTGTTAGTGTTGGTTGTACGAGATGTCACAAATTGACTTTTTGATGTATAGGAAAGTTTCGAATATCGTATTCGCTAGAGGGTATAGTCGAGTCTCGTGTTCCCGGTACGTTCTAATGCAGTAGTTTAACCGCTTAATATCTGTCGACGAATGTTTGCGTCACCGCCTGCAATGCTTTCGATAATAAATTGCCTCTTATTTTAGAAATCCTCATTCACCACACTTATAGCCATGGCATCGTATCACTTACACGGCCAACACATCTCTCGTAATGACACCCGATGACTAATTGTGCGGAGTTGACTCTCTTGCAACATTGTGATTAATTATACGTTTCTTTTTGTCTGGCGAATCTTAAGCGTAATGATATCATTTTTTTGTAATAATTAATTTAATCCTTTTTCTCATAGTTTGTACAAGTCATGAGTTTTGGTTACCGATGGTTGAGTTTCGAATTGTTTCTGCAATTTCCTCATTAAAATCTGGATTGAACATGATTGCGAACGTCGGTGATTAGATAAAGAATAACCAGAAAACTATTTTTTATGTTAATAATAGTGATATTTTAAACAACGGTATAAATCAAAATTTGCTCTTAAAAGGCTCTGAAAACTAATTTAAAACATGTCGTCAATATGTTTTATACTTTAAACATCTTGATGGTATAATTTAACCGCAGCGTTTACTGTAAGTTTTGTCTTAAAAATAAAGGCGAAGGGTTACTATCGAACGACCTAATCGCTAAAATCCAATACAGTATTCAAACATATTCACAAAACGGGTGAATTATCGACGGCGGAGGCGGTCGCATCATTAGCTATCCTCATTGTACACGCATGGCCATATCGCTGGGGTATTAAGGTTATTATCAAAGGCAAAATTGGCCGCGACCGCTGAGGAAGCTGCCCAGCGAGACCTATTAGCTGTATTACATATTTCATACGATCCCCGATCGTTCGACGATTATGGGTGTATTAAAACGTAGTCGGATCGTCTCCCGACCATGGGAATATGTGCAGCCGACGCTTCGCTCAACGTTTTTTTTACAGTTTAGCTTGTGATTCGGCGATCCAGGTACATTCGCGTCGAGTACGCTATGGGAATGTAGGCGAGCTTTAATGGCTGCCGACCTTTTTACCAAAGTCTATCATAGAGCCAGGAATTGTTGAACCTTACATAGTTATGTTAAATCATACAGTTTCAACAGTTTATACTTTTTGTAACTCGCGCCCTTTTTATTTTCGAAAGCAAGCATACTTAATTTATTGACAATTCTTAGTATAGGAATTAATATTTAGCTTTTAATTTTACATAATACTAGAGGTTTTTTTTTTATTCGCTTCAACAATGTGTGAATGTTCTATTTTCTTTTGTTACAGGATCCCTTCACGGTAAGAAAAGAAATTTATTTTAATATGCGCCGACATCAGGAACTACCAGATGTTCCAGTAGAAAACCTATATCTATATTCTGTCCAGAAATAGCAAACTACACATTTCTTAATCACATTTTTGTTTCTTTTTCGGTTCAATTACACCGGGCGCTTCACATCAATGGCCAAATATCAGGGCGTAAGTATTATCATGTAATCACATTTAATGATATGCGAAATAATAGGAAATTACTCAATTATATATCTGACATATATCAAAGTCGGTGTTAGCTCATATGCATAATTACACACACATACAAGATGACAAGACGATAATTAGTCGTGCCGAAGACACATCGTTCCGCGGACCCTAATTGACGTACATGCAAACGCAATCAATATGACGCGGTAGCGGATGTCGGTCGAACACCGGGACATGCCTTGTGCTCGCTCGGTACAGTTGTTGCCTGCCCTCAAACAATCCGGGTTCACATTTACACGATCCAAAGTGATGTTAAATAATAGATATTGCATCAAACGCACCCCAAACTATTTGTTACGTTTTGACACTTACAATTGTGAATTGAACTGGAAGTCATCATCCTTATATTCCTATTTAATTATCGATCTCTCTCTCTCTCGTTCTGTGAGTATGATCTGCTTCGATTATCTGTTAAGTAAAATGTAATTCGTCTCTATCTTCCCTTGTAAAGTTCGGATTATGTGTCGATGTGTTTGTATGAGTAACAGTTTATCACAATTTGATACAAACAAAAAAAATATACGCTACGCTACGCGGGCGTTAACTGAAATCACTCACATTAGTACTATTAGATTCGTTTTGGCATCAGTCGGTAAAATGAACGAACACTTTGTGAGGAATCCCAGTCCGGTCAGAAAACACAACATTGCTTTTTAAACGCATAATATAAATTGACCTATAACAATTCACACGTCGGCGTGGACGGAAGCTGGTGTTATTTTATTGACACTAAAAAACTGGTAGACGAAATGTTTGTGAATTTCTTGTATACTATATCGATGTTAATAATGCAACCGTCTGACATTATGGATTTATATTGTCATCTGAGGGGCAGTGCTATAACATTGATTAGCGTTATTCTACTATTATTAACGGCTTCGTCGCTACGTGACGGTGGCTATGACTCTAAATTTCTAACTTAAAGCGTCCACAATTCTTACTAAACTATCAGACAACTGTTCTGTCATTATTGATTGTCGATTGTTTCGCAGCCAATTCACTGTTTAGTTTCAGAACTAAAAATCGAGTAGTGTGCGCACCTCCATATAAGATCATAAGTATCAAAGAGAGACTAACTAAAGATGTAGTGAAAAATCCACAATTTTAACGAAAATCTTGATTTCCATCAAGTACGACATACTACGAAAGGTGTCATTATATGGCTCATTAAAGTTTAGCATTGTTTAGTCTATCGGTTACTTTTATCTTTACACTGTAGATATTTACAATATTTTCTCAATTCCTTTAACGCAGAAAATAATAGAATAATATAAAAGATTTTAACTCTATTTTACGATGTTAAAAGCGAGTACGAACTTTAGCAAAATCAAGTAAGACGCGGTAACACCCACTTGTAGGCGTTACCCTCATGTTTTAAATTAGTCTCAAATGTTAGAGTCAAAGGAGAGGAGATTTATATCAGGCAAATTATAAAGCTTTGCTTTGTGCACGAACCACGTAATCCTGTTTTAAATTTATTAGCTTAGCGGGCGATAAATTAGTAAATTCGGCGGCTGGGTGACCCGGAAACGTTGCTCGAGTTAGACTTTCGTTGCAGAACACATCCAAAGCATTCTGTCCCAACTCCACAGCGATTGTTTTCGTACAACTTACTACATTTTTAACCCGCGACATCGAGATATGCTGTTTCTAGTTAAAAATACACGACTTCAGACATGTTTAGGTAATCTCATAATCAGTCAATGCGAACCACTAGAGTCATTGTTTCCGGATGATTCTTTTTATATTTCTCCATTTTGTATTGTGTTTATATTATTGTACTAGCTGTTGTCCACGACTTCGTCTGCGTGAAATTAAAAAATAAAAAAAGATAGACTATGATACTCACAGATAAAATACTTTCTAACGGTGAAAGAATTTTTAAAATCCGCCTAATAGTTTTTGGATTATTTCAATACATACAAAAATACAAATCTTCCCTCTTTATAATAATACTGGCTTTGGCCCGCGACTTCGTCCGCGCGGATTAAAAAAAAACAAATGTAAGTAGCCTATGTGTTCTTCCAGACTATCCTCTACATCTATGCCAAATTTCATCGTTATTCCTTCAGCCGTTTAGGCTACAAACTCTAACAAACATCCATCCATTCATCTAAACTTTCGCATTTATAATATTAAGTATGATTACAAATGCGTTTTGGTTTACGTTTAAAAAAGGTATTAAACACTTACCAAACTTATATAGCTGGTATTGTGGTCAAGCATTTGATATTCGTTAAAAATATAAGTGCAATCTGTCGTCAATACATCATTTAATTTACATTTTGTTTGTCGACATCAATACACGATGTATAATTGGGATGTTTTGATTGGAGACCGTTTTATATCGATGTTCCTCGTTTGTCTGTCAATATCAACTAATCAATCAATGTTTTTTACATGTATGGGACGCAATCACCTGTGCAGTATGTAAGTATGACTTTACTATATTTTATTTATTAGCTCTGCATAGATAAGGCGCCAACCACACGAGCGTATGTCACAGCAAAGTAACATCGTTCTCTAGATCACTGCCACACGGTCAACGTTACATCGCTTCATAAAATCTCATCTCAAGCGACGAAAACTTTACAGTCTTTCAATGTCAAAGTCGTCTTGATTTTAACAAGATCTACGGTATTTTTTTGTTACATTTTTGAAGACCAGGGTGTAGGTACATTTACACCTTCATTATTTCTTAAATTACGTATTAAAATTGCTGAAATTTTGCTAATTTTAATAGCAAAGTGTTTGTCTAGTTTCCAAACATCGTACAAAACAATTTCGCACACACTTTATAAAAGGTACAAACGTTTTAGATTGAGCCTAATTTCATAGATTAGATTTTCCGAGATTAATTCGAACGTGCAAGTTATCTAGTTATAATTTAGCTAGGATATTGGACACCGAATAGTCTACCCATCGATACATGGACCGAAAATGCCTCTACCAATATCGACAACCGCGGTGAACTAAGCCTATTACCACATTACACCGGATAGCGTTAACGGTAGCGGTTTGTGGTATTTAATACTCAACTATAAAATATACTTCAAATTAAAATTTGTGTCTGTACTGTGTTAATTTACTTTAATATCTACTTCTGAAACAATAATAATAGTTAGCTTATTAATCAATTAGGCTTAAGGCTTAACGCAACAACCCTCGTTTTCTCTTATTTTTGCGATCTTTTTTCGTGTTGTTTCTTCAAGAACTGTTTTTAAAAACACCGTATCGAGTTCCCTTAACCTGTTCCCGCTCCCGCTTCCGTCTTTAATGTGTCAATCGTATTGATACGTGGAAAATCGTAGCAGCCGCCGGCACTCGCTTGAAATTAACAGCGCTTCCCTCGACGCCAATATTTCTCTGTGCGACGCCGAACCTAGGACCGCCCGCCACTAACTACCCCACTGAATCAGCTACGATCACGCCTACACCTTGTCCATACTCCGATTGGTAGGTAACTCGTACCCTCGGATAAAGTAATATCAAATGTTTACGTCGCAGAACAGGTAAAGCGAACCAATTCCCTATTTGGAGCAAAGATATTTCATCAGAAACCCTTAGTTCTGGATTGGATAATACCTTAGTATTTTATAAAATAAAATGCTTATTGTTAGAATTATTACACTATTTACACAAACTATAAAAGATAATGGAAACATTTTCTATGTGGTACACTAAACACCTTATTAAAGTTATGTTAAAAAGTTTGACTTATTCCGGTCCCGAAATATTATGCTGCACTTACAACAGCGTTTTAAAAATTAAAATGACGGCTGATGATGGTAAACTAATTCCTATAACTATGCTAATAGCACCCAACTTCACCAAAATATAATCTTTAATCTGGATGCAAATCATCCTAATACGTTCCGATTATAAAGAGCTATAATTTCGACATTATATTGTCCATCAAAGTGTTTTACATATAAAAATAAAAGCCTGGCAATCAAGTAATTTGTTCCTCGACCTACTAAACTCATTTCGTGATAGAATCGTGTTTTGATTTTAGATTTAAAATATTTCGCTCATTTTTACGGAACATTAGTGAAAAAACATCTATTTTGCTAAACATGAGTTAAGTCTTTCGACTTCTAACAATCTATTTTCCAATTTCCGTGTACACTTTCAACAAACATTTTAGGCACATAAGTACAAAGAAGCTGGCTCAAATGTTACGCTGCTTAACGTTGGTACTAATTTTACATGGAATGTGTTTTATTTTCCAGACTGCAATGCATTGGGCCTGCAAGCGAGGTGACGAAAATTTAGTGAAACTACTGGCAGGTGTCGCTCGTCAAGTTATCAATGAACGTTCCGTGAGTACATTACCATGTATCTATTAGTACTTTTAATGTAATACCAATTATGGTGTGGTTTAATGTTTACTAAATCTGAACCAAGCAGATTCCGTATGTTAAATCTACACTAAGATTCTCCTTTAATGATCGAGACTGAGTTTGGCTACTGAAGGTCGTAAAAAGTATGTCAGAATATTTTGTTTTTTTTTAATTGTGATTTATTATGACTCCTATAATAAAGTTTTGTAACAGTAAATCTATCGAAATTTGCTTTTATCTCGTACAATTTGTATACTGCTCTAGAGTTTTGTTTTAATTCCTTTATCCCCATCCTGTGATGGAACATCAAGGCGTACGTACAGCAGGCATCCTTTTATTGTGAACGTTCCCCGATTCATATGAAGCGCTTTGTTTCGCTTTTCATTATGCACCAGCAAGGGAATGGAATAATTTGATTCAGTCGACGTCCCATCCCTTGAATTTTAACGCTTCGAAAGAACAGACTTTTACTAGGCTATTGCAGTTTACTATGGAAAACTGCAATAGCCACTATACTGTTACACTGCGTGTAGTAAAATGTACAAAATATCTAACACTAGCTGTTGTACGCGACTTGGTCCGCGTGGCATTTATAAAAAATGTTTAAAGTATACCCTGTGTTACTCACTGATAACGTAGCATTTAATTATACAAGATTTTTTGAAATCGGCCCAGTAGTTTTTGAGTTATTTCAAAACATACAAAAATACAAATATTTCCTCTTTATAATATTAGTATAGATTATTTTTCTCTAATCTTATTTTAATTAAAATAACGCAACGCATCTGCAGTCCATGGGCGTCGTTGATCACTTCGGTGTTCCCGTCGCTCATTTGCCCCCTTTTATTATAAAAAATAACGCGGGTAATCAAGTGATTTGAAATTATTTCTTTCTTTTTAATACGAATTATATTATCAACAGTTTAATAGCATTAATCACAGAGAATCGTTTAAATCGATTTTACCGACTAGTAGACGCGCTAATTAGGTGTTTACATTTAGAGGGTCGTAACTGGGCACTTCTACCCCGTTTTACCTAGAAGTTTTAATGTCCAATCAAGTTTAGTTGCTCGAGGCTATTTTGCCTGTTTTACGCAGCCGTTAAAGTTTCATTGCACTCTTTTTCATGTGGCGTTCGGCGGCGACATCGGCGGATGCAGAATGGGGTAAGTTCATTTTATTGCTCTGCTACTTGTAGAGTCTAAAGGCAGTCTTAAACTAACTATAGTTTAGTTTTAATATTCAACACAAAAAGTTTCATACCGCCAATATTCTTTTAATTAATATTTTTCATAAAGACAAAAAGATTTTTTTTTTCATTTAATTTTTTTATAAATTTTAATTGTCTATTCTTATACAATCACTTTTTACTTTATTGGAAGCTTTATTGCTTGCGTGATATTGTGCGTTGCGTAGATATCTAAAGCAAACTTTCACTTAGTTTCAATACATCTGTCGCATTGTAATATTCGGCGCGAGTTATCCAAGTGGGTTTAATATCTATCCGGTATATTATTCGATATAAATATTTGAAACGGGGTCGCAAACGTTATGAAGGTGGCAGATGCGAAGTTCTATGATCCAAGTTATCTAATAATAAGGCTCGGTTCACACTGACTAATATATTTGTTAGTTTGAAGAAAATTAGCTCGAACACTATAAATATTCGTCACTGATTGTATGAGTCTTAAATAAAAAAATATCCGGACAAATTGGGTAACTCCTTTTTTTAGGAAGCCGTTAAAAAAGGAGATTGATACCTACGACTTATCATATTTCTTGAATTTCATAACCGTTTAACTTGTTTTATTAGGATTTACTGAATAATGGTTGTAATTACGTTTTATATATTGCGTGAAGTATCGGTTTATGTATAGACTAAATTTATATATGTCTGAGAGTTTGGCGCAACCACAATGGCAGGAGGGCCTCCATTCTGAAATATTTTATTCACGTGATAGGATCGCCGTCCGTAAACATGTGGGATGTGATACTTGGACTCGTATGCAGTTTGTTTTTTGTGCTACGGATTTATTGGAACATAGAGAACATTTCTTTAGTACTTGGTATATTGGTTATATTTTAGACTAGCTGTTGCTCGCTACTCCGTCCACGTGAACTCAAAAATATAACAACTTTAGTTAATCACGAAACAATAAATAATTTTAATGGTGAAAGAATTTTTGAAATCGGCCACTTTTTAAGTTATTTCAATACATACAAGTCATCTCTATTAAAATTAGTGTACATTTAGATTATCTATTACAATTATAATTATGTTTAAATAAACGATATCGCATAAAAACTGATTTAAGTTTACTTGCTTAAGTAGAAATGTTTTTTTTTTTCAGGGATACACTCCTCTGCACATCGCAATTCAGTTCCGTAATGAAAATGTTTATAATCTCCTTGTAGATGTTTATGGTAAGTTTAACTTGAGTATAACACAGCCGCGATACAAGACGTTTTGTTACAGAGAAGGGATAATATGTATCTAAACAAATGGGGCAGTAGAATCCTACGGTTATAATTTATTGTTGTACAATATACTAATCATACATCATTATAGGGTGGCATTAAAAAAAACAAAAGCACGTAGCCTTTGTGCTCTTCCAGACTATCCACTACATCTATGTCAAATTTCATTGAAATCTGTTCAGCCGTTTAAGCTACAAACTCTAACATCCATCCATCCATTTAACTTTCGGATTTATAATTTCAGTATGATTAGTAAGATGTGAAAATTTTCGTGGATGGATGTTTCTTAGAGTTTGTAGAATAAACAGCTGAACGATTTCGATGAAATTTGGTATAAATGTTGTTGATAGTCTGAAAGATTACTTGGTATTCGCTTTTCTTATTTGTTACACATTCTTGGGCAAATTTTATAAAAAAAAATAATTTTAATATAAAGTTTTTTTTTTAATGTTAATATTGAATGTGGATGGCTACAAAGGTAGAGGAAGACAGAAGAAAGTATGGATTGTGTGAAAGAGGATAGCTTAAGAAAGGAGTGGATTCATATATGACGGCTGATAGAGATGTATGGAAGAGCAGCACATACTGTGCCGACCCTCCGTAAGGGATAAGGGCAACTTGATGATGATGACAATGTTAATTTACAGATGCTGATCCAAATGTGAGGGACTGGTCTGGTAGGAAAGCCAGGCAGTATTTAGTTCGTATGGACACATCACTCTCACCCGGATCCTATCGAAGTAAGTTGATGTTTACTAAAGTTTTAAACTCCTATTATAGATTCAGTCCACGTCAAATATTTAATGACTTAAGTTGCTCGTCTGAAAACATAACCTTAAATTATTTGGCGAAACATCGAACAACTAGAATTCTAAATAATAATCTGTACTAATATAAAGAAGGAAGATTTGTATTTTTTCATTTTTTTATTAGAAACTAGCTGTTGCTCGCGACTTCGCCCGCGTGAAATTATAAAATAATAAAAACTGTAGCCTATGTTACTCACAGATAAAATACCTTTCTAATAGTGAATGAATTTTTAAAATCGGTCCAGTAGTTTTTGAGTTATTTAAATACATACAAAAATACAAATCTTTCCTCTTTATAATATTAGTGTAAATAACTCAAGAACTACTTGACCGTATTTCAAGTTCTTTGTTATCACTGAGTAACATAGGCTGTATTTTATTATTTTTTAATTTCACGCAGGCGAAGTCGCGAGAAACAGCTCGTTAAATATAAATAAAAAACAATTAAATAAATAAAAAAAGGTTAAGACAATATTTTACAAAACTACGTAAAGTTTGACTATAAGATTGATTTAATTTTAATGTAACTTATCTAAAAGATAGTTCTTAAGTTTTTTTTTTATATATTTTAAACTAGCTCTCGGCTGCGACTCCGTCCGAGTGGAATAAAAAAACAAAACTGAGTGACTATCCTCTGCATATATACCAAATTTCATCGAAATCAGCCGTTTAGGCTACAAACTCTAACAAATATCCATCCATTTGAACTTTCGCATTTATAACATTAGTAAGATAAGAATAATAGTGGTAGAGCATGCTTTAACATATTCGCAATGTAGGGCTCACCCAATACCACGAACACACAGAAAACAGGCGTGAAGTGGAAGCAATTCCGCGTCTGATGTGTGTGGTACCGGAGGCCTCATTTTAGTCCCTTTCCCTTTCCGCCCTTTTAAGAGGAAAGTGGATTTGATGGTGGAGGAGACGCATAGGAAAGGAGATTGTCCTCTTTGTGTGCGTCTCCTCCTCTGTCAAGTAAGGGTAGGCAAGGCATCTGCAATAGCGGATGTTTATGTGCAGCGGTCGCTTTCCATTTCGGTGGATTCAGGTGGCCGCTACACTTTTTTCATCGCATACTGAATTATATTGAAACAAATAAAAAAAACATGCTATAATTTTTTTTTTTCGTTTATTCCAGAAAAAGAAGGATTTTTACGTATTGGATCTTTAAATGTTCGTGTAAAGAAGACTACGGAAGCTTTCAGTAATTTCCTCGGCGTGGGTGCGACTCGTTCATCCGGTTACGTTCCTAAATTAATCAGGGAAAGGGATTTGGACCGACGTTCTGATGATGGTGAACAGTTACACAAATCTTGGGGATCAGCTGATAATATACCGGTAATTATTTATTAATTATTAAATTAATCTCGAAAAAGAAAATAGTATCCCATTTAGAATGGGATTTATTATGATTTTTTTTTTAATTAATTGACCTCTGGCAGTTTTTTATATAAATAAAACTTTCAAAATTTCGCTGAGCAAAAGAAAATATTTGTCTTATGTTTATTTTTATAAATTTCAAAATTGTTTTTTTTTTTAATAAATATGAGATGAAAAGAAGAATAATTATTTACAACACAATTATAATTGGTAGTTAATTTGTAAATAATTTATTACAAATTATTTACGAAGAACTCAAATTATTTCATTATTTTTTATCTGTGTATTAAAATTAATGTTTTAATCTTTGAATGCGTGATGATTTATACATCAGTCTTTTCTTACATAAAAGAATATTTAGAAAAATCTTTTTTTCTGTATTTTACCCTTAATCTATATTTAATCTTGTTTCAATTTATGGTATTTTAAAATTAAAAATCATTTACTAATTCGTTAAGTCTTAATAAAATATGCTATTTACAAATGTTATTCGCCAGTATTTCCATATAAATGTTGTGGTTGTATTTCATCATCAAGTTGCCCTTATCCCTTACAGAGAGTCGGCACAGTATGTGCTGCTCTTCCATACATCTCTATCAGCCGCCATATCTGAATCCACTCCTTTCTTAAGCATATCCTCTTTCACACAATCCATACTTTCTTCGGTCTTCCTCTTCCTTTGTAACCATCCACATTCATTCTTAACACATTCTGGTTTATGTCCCCATCGTCTCTTCGCTGTAATAATGTTTTGGTTGTATTTAAATAAATTAAAACTATATGTATAGAAGAACGACAAGATGCCACCGCCGATGAGTAACAAAGTCCGTCGTAGAGGGGCCAGTGGTCGTCGTAACGTAGGATCTCACAGCAGAAGTACACCTTCAACTCCTGATCAGGTATGTACTATACAAACTGTCATCCGTGACGTCATCATCATCCATATCCTACTCCCGTAGGGTCGGCATGGCAGGTTTTTCTTTCGTGAGGTGACTTTAAAAAAAAAAATATGCCTATGTGTTCTTCCAGATTATCATACTTCATAATTAATCTTATTTATATTATAAATGCGAAAGTTTAGATGGATGGATTTTTGTTAGAGTTTGTAGTCTACAGCTAAAAAGATTTCGATGTAATTTTGCATACATGTAGTCTGGAAGAACACAGGCTACTTATTTTTTATTGCGGACGGAGATGCGAGCGAAAGCTAGTCTTCTATACGTATGCCAAATTTCATCGAGTTCCATTCAACAGTTTAGGCTACACTAACAAGTCTGGAATTTTTCTTTTGATATTACAAACAGACACTCCAATTTTATTATGTGTAGTGTATAGAAGATATAGATTAAATTTAGTTTTATCAAGATTACTACTTATTATGGGAGATTTTATAATATTGGTATTTTTGTATTGTAGCCTCGTGCACAAATTGGTGTTAGTGAAGAACGAGATTCGGATTCAGACAGCGCGGCAGGCTTCCACTCCGCTTGGAAACAACGCGCCTCGTGCACATAAACAATAAATGTACTTAAAACAAGTATTACAAAGTTACAAGTATTTTTAGATTTAAGTATATTATATCGATGTAAAAATGTTCCGATCAAATCGGTGTATGATTTTTATTTGAAAACCATTTTAGTAAATATTTTATTTTAGTACTATTGTATAGTAAAATGAACTATTCTGAACAAATACGATAAGAGACATGAAATCGAATTCGAACGTTTTCGGCCTTGCCCTTGTGTATATAGATATAATGAATTCTAAAATGTTAACATTCCCTTTTATTTTATGTTGAAACTAATTTTATATAATTGGTTTGTTAAGTGATAAATAATGAAGACTCATTCCAATGCACTTTAATAAACTTAAGTATTATTGTTGTAATAAATTTACAATTTTACAAAGTATTTTTACAAAACGTTAATTTGTACATGTACAATAACAAATCAAATTTAATGTAATTTATACACTTTTTGGCACAAACGAAACTTAAAACTATACAATTATATCTTACATTCAAATACATTTGAAATATATAGACTAGACAGAGTTAACAACATTCACCGGTAACTTTGATAGGTACTGTGTCAAGTTAAATTCCACCTCATGTCCTTGTGTTGTCATGTTATAAAACATTTTACAGCATTATAATAAGCTCCATCTTTTGTATATAATAAACTAAACAGTGTCACAAAATAAAACAAAACATTTAAATTTTAACACCTATTGGCAATTTATTCAAATACAGTTAATTATATTGTCATGTGGTTTTAAAGATCTATTAATAGATAGTGTCAGTGATAGATTGTATTGAAAAGTGATTTCATGAGATGGATATTTTAAAATATTGACAACATGAAGTAGCTTTAGGACTCATTCTAAAGACGGTAGGCAAATGAATGCGGGAACTGCATCGAATGTTGTAAATATAGCTTAGCGCGTCTCAATACCCATTGTGGCCGGTAGAAATATGCGTAACTGGTTAGAGGGTTTCCTTAACCAGTTAGATACTTCAGCTCGTGCAACTCAAGAGCGCTAGTTGCCTGGATCCTCTTCTACAGCGCATTTTAACAACCAGCCTAGTACCGATGTACCGTCGTCGCGCGCGACCGCGACAGCACCTTTAAGCAACGTCTTTCGCTCGTGCAGCCTCTGCCAGCATCGGCGTCTCGCGTGCCACACATGTCACAAGCACGCACCACGCATTTAAATAAAAATCATAAAAATGACCAGTGACAACTCCAAATGTGAGCGTTGGCGATATAACAAATAAAAGCCTCCATTTATATACTTTTTCTTTTTTAGAATTATTTGTAAATGAAATAAAGAGCAAATTTGCTTTTTTGTATTTTTTTTTATTTTCTAATAAATCCTGAAGACGGTGCTAGGGTGTATGTTATTTATTTTACACTTTTTCTATGACAGATTCACTTCATTTTTTTAAAGTTTGAATCTAAATCTCCGCGCGCTCCTGCTTTCTAACCTTTTAGTGAGTGCCCTTGCATTATCTGTTGGCTGCCCCACGAAATATATTCAAACGTAGCTAAGACGATATATGTACGTTCTTTTCACCATCAGAAAATTTAGCTAAATTGAACTTTACCTTACGCGAGTCTGTTCACGAGACCGTGGGGATTTAGATTGCTGCTGCGAAGGACCCGAAGGAGGACAACATGTAAACGAAGATTTACTTGTATAAAAATAAATGAATACATACAATACAGTATTGTATTATCTATGGTAAGCGGGGGGTCGTGTAATTGACAATGAATAATTAACAATCAAAACAGACGGTACTATTCGTTGGCATTTTAACAGTATAAATACCTTTAATAAAGATTAACTACCGTTATTCCGATAGTCGTATCTATAAATAAACTGACCTTCGATCTTGTTAAATAGCTCTCGTTAAACAATTGGGGAAAGGGTCCGTAGAATTTTTTTTTGTCATAAACCAATAAGTATTATGAGTGGAAAATCCACAGCATATAATATTGGGAATGGATAACTTGTTATTTTTTAAACAAAAATTATGATATTTCTATTTAATATATAAATGTATTAAATACAAAATAAAAATATAAATGAATTGGAAATTGTAATTAAATGCTTTAAGCAAATCCTAATAACGCATTTACACAGACACAACATAGTTATTTTAAAAGAAATTATTATTTGCGCACAGGCCCACCACTTAGGCGGGGACAGATTAATTTAGGTAAAGGTTATGTCGCAGAAGAGGTATTTCATCACGAGGAATTCCCCTCAAATTTTCCACAAGATCTGAAAAACGATCCCATATCTTAGAATTAAATCAGATAAATAACAGTATACCATTTTATAATACATTCTTGTGTCACAAAATTTATTCGTAATTTTAAAATTTCGATAGATACCGGTAGTCAAAGTTCTTTTGAACGGAACAAGCGTCACAATATTTTAAAGAAAACTAAGAAACTGAAATATTTCCCATTAAGACTTTAAATGGTATGGACACACCCGCCACGACAGTACAGAATGACGTCACTCATCTTTGGAGCGACGTCCACCCCCGCGACAGCGAATTACGTAAAGAACATAAACGCCAAGAGATACCAGAAAACGAACCCGGCAGCTTACGACGCCATCCTAAAATGCCATTACGTCGATGACTATCTACAAACTTTTTAAACTATAGAAGAAGGGATTCGAACAGCATGCGACGTACGAGACATCCACAAAAAAGCGCACTACGAGCTGAGGCAATGGGCCTCGAATAGCCATAGTTGTGGGTGCCGCCGAACGGAAACTCGTTCAGTTCAAATCACCAAACAATTATTGCTTTTAACACTAGACCATGTAACTGGCATGCGTAGACTCGACTACGCATGTCAGTAATCGTGGAAAAAACGATGTCAGTATATGAAACTATAGCGAGTAAGGCGAATGATTTAAAATAAAGATATTAACACATGCGTCTTTAGTGGTGACCCCGACATGATTTCCTAAACGATTATTAACATATTAAATAAAATGTTGTTTCTTGCGACTGCAATAAAGCATACATTTTTGATACTTTATTATTTAGAAGAATCGTATACAAATAGATCTCTTCCCCGATAGTGCTAATGTTATGATTTCTCTAGGATGTAAATTCGGATACACTACGATTTACTAGAGATATCTTAAGATTTTGCCAGTTACTATTTGTGTTAATTTTTAGTAGTTGGATTCGCCTTTTGCATGTTAATATGTAAGTTAACATTGAACAAATGTCAAAGCCGAAGTCTCCTTTCTCATTCAATCGCTCTATTTACTGCTTCAGAGTATAATAAAGAACTTCTCCTATCACTGCGCTCCTAGCCGAGTACTTTGAAGAGTACGCCCTAGCACTGCATGGAAGCCTGAATTTGGCAAAACGAAGTCGTTTGCTTTCTCAAAACCGAAGAAGTTTTGCATTTAAATTGAATCCAGATTTAATCCTTCTGTGTCTCTCTAGGACAATTATGTCTGCTAGACACTTCGAATAAGTTTACCATTCTGGATGGATAATGAATTAAAGCAGCACTATTACATCTTCGAACTGCGACCAGTTGAGTGTGTTATCGCAAGTACTTGCGTCACCAGTAAAATCAATAACAGCCGAAACATATTCTACATGTCGGAGATCTTCCTCCAGAAGTGCTTACCCACCATTGCAGACCCTTGTGTTTGATCACTTTGGACAGATCACCCTATTGGCGGTCACACGGAAAAGCGCTATGTCGCCTTCTTTAAAAGACTCGTTGTGCGCGATGTAAATCTGGAAATTCTGGTTTTATTTCAAATGCTATCACTATGGCTTTGAGAGCAAAAAGAGTATTAGCAACATTGTGAAAATAGATGCTTGTTCGGAGAATGCGATAGAGAAGGAGCCTTCGACTCGTGGTCCACTACCACTTATTTTTTTTGTTTTGAATAACCTAATATTTGTTTTTGTGTAGTTTAGTTAAAACGTAATTGTTTAGTTCTTTTTATATCACTAACATACTTTATTTTTATTGCGTGCCCATGTACATACAATACGTTGTTTTTTTTCTTTTGTAAACACTATGTGCATTACGCTTTATCTTTGTTGCTTCGGTCAACTTTAGTTTAATTTTACTTTTTTAAGTACTTATAGGTTTTTGTCGTCTTGTGACATCAGGGGTCGGGCATGTTGGCGATGCAATTAACCTTTTTATGTTTTTACTTTTTTTAATAAGAATTTATATTTTTTCAATTAATTCTTTTTGTACAATAATTCAATTAGTCTTTAATAAAATGTCACAACGTTTGCTAGGCTGATTTGTACATAATTTTCAATTTGTATATAAATTCTTGCTATTTTCATTATAAGTTGTTAGTTTGGTTATTTTCTTTTTATTTATTCTTCGCGAGCTCCTCCTTGCTGTTCTTCGTCTTTTTCACCCGTCAAAGCTGTGAGGCAATCAGTTGACTCTAAGACCTCGGTATCGCAACCTTTAGGTTGACACGCACGGTTACATCCCTTAACCATTATCCTGTCCACTCAGTATTACTACACTCCATATATACCGATTCCCGCTTCCCGATAAGTCAGTCTCTTCCTAAAATCCAAACTACCCGGACGGTTGCTAATTAAATTTTTGACTTTTTAAAACATCCTAAACCCGAGGCTCGTAACAGCACGAAGTAGCTTTTGGAACTCATTCCAAAGACAGGAGGCAAGTGAACCTGCATCGAATGTTGTAAATATAGCGTAGCGCATCCCCTTACTTATTGTGGCCGCCGAGAAATATGCGTCGACTATTCACTCGACTATCGATAAATGGTTAGAGGGTTTCCTTAACCAGTTAGATACTTCAGCTCGTGCAACTCAAGATCGCCTTACCTGGCTAGAGTTACCTGGATCCTCTTCTGCGGCGCATTTTAACAACCAGCCAGACAGCAAACAGCGCAGACAACGTCGTCGCGCGACGGTGGCACCATCTTAGAGCAATACCTTTCGCTCGTGCAACCTTGCCGTAAAGTTAGACAAATGTAAGTTCTTACAGGACAGCATAAAGTATTTGGGCTTTATTATTAACAAAGGCGGGCTGCGACCCTATCTGGAAGATTGGAAACCATTTGTTGGCGATGCAAATAGCCTCTTTAATACATTTTTACTTTTCATAGTTTTTTAAATTAAGAATTTATATTTGTTTTTTTTGTAAACATTTTGTCAGTCTTCAATAAATTCTCATAACCGTTGCTAGGCTGTTTTGTTTATAATTTTCCCTTTGTAGATCAACTTTATTCATTTCAATTTCAAGTTTTTAGTTTCATAAAATTCCCTTTGGTTATTTCGCGCGCTCCTTCCAGTTCCTCGTCCTTTTCACCATTATTAGCGCACCAACCCTAGATAATGTTAGTCAACCAAAAAGTTTTCTACGATTATTAAATTGTTATGGGTGATTCATTTCTAATTGAAGCACAATTCTTCATCCCTTACATAACCAGCTCAATGACGGTTGAGCTGGAAATGGCCTTCCGAATGCAAAAAAGCCAAGGCGAAGCGATCACTCCTTATACAGTACCTGGCCTCCTGGTACTGGCGCATTACGAAGAGGGGCGCGAACTTGTAGTGTCGGTGGACAGCAGCGCGTATGGGCTAGGCGCCGTGCTCACTCAACGTTACGCGGACTGTAGCGAGCGGCCAGTCAGCTGTGATTAGCAGTAAAGCAAGAATGATAACAACCAGATTGTTGATTAAAAATATTCCTATGAATATTTTTTCTACCATAACATCTATTCTATTGATTGCTATCAACCAAAGATGGATTCAATAAAAATCCTTAAGGAAGATTATAAAATTTGGAGGAAGCTTATTGAATTATAATAAATTCAAAGGGAATAAAATAAAAAAAAATAAAATCGATAAGAATAAAGAAATTTTGAAAAATAAAGGGACGTTATTTATACTTAGCTGCTGCAGGGGGGTGACACCGGCATACTAAATGATTGAAAAAAAAATGGCACGGTAATCAACATCATCTAGCGTACAAGGCTAGGCAATTTAGTCATGTAAAACTTTTAAATGAGACTAGATTGCGTTAAAAACCAGCCAGTTACTTTTAATGGCTACAAAACTCTTTGATCGCAGCACAATATTGTGTCAAAATTAAAAGCAAAAATAGTTTTGACGTATAAAAGTCACAATTTTACAAAACTAAAAACGACTAATTAATTATAAACAAATTAATTAATTATTAAAGAAAATATCTGATGTGTTCAAAAGCCCGCGATAATTTTTATTTCGATTGTAAGGTAAGTTTGTAATAAAACTGAAATTGTATTCTGTACAATGTAGTAATAATAGTTAATTTAGATTAGTTGTCGCGGAAAATTATAACAATACTTGTTATTACAGAAAATATCTATAAGTGCAACAACATCGACAGAAAAAATGTTGTATCGAAACGGCTACAGTTTTAACGTATCAGGCCACTAAAATCTAAAAGCGAAAATTTGCGACAGGTTTGTGCCAGTGATTTTATGATGAACATTATTAGCAAGTAGCAAGTTAAATCAATGTTCATGATATACTAGATTCAAATGATAAAAGTTGGAACTATTTAATAGTAGTCTGATGAGAGTGTTGCCTTTCTATGCCTATGAGCTTAGATGGCTCAGGAGTCAAGTATCTTGACTTGAAATCCTGCCATGTACCAATGTGATTTTCGAATTTGAACAAATTGTCCTAACGATATAATTTAGAATTAGAATTAGAGGTTGGTGACTACATAATCAGCGGGCGATAATTATTAACCCATATTAAAAATTTAACTCAGTCAGGCTGAGTTGTTAGTGCCTTGTCACAATGTTTAAAAGTACCAACTGCTCGCAGCTTCACTCATGCACAGTTTGCTACGCGAAACTGAGGGCGGTAATTAGAAGCGTATAATATGTTGTACAGTAAAATTTGTTATGCTTTCAGGTTCTCTGCATCGTTTCTCTAAGACTGGCCGTTTAATAGAAATATTGGAAATCTAGAAAACGCTGTTCGAGGACGCCACTATTGAAAATGGAAATATGTACATGTATGATACATAACAAATTGAGGTTACGCAATAAACATTTATTTCCAACTTTGGGTTTTTATTTTAGCAGATATTTACACCACTCCCAATATATGTAAATATACACGTTTGATTTAAATATACACGTGTCAAGAACGAAAGTCGCCCTAATGATCGCCTAACTTCGGAAGAAGATGGCTCTTTAAGAAGATAGAGTCAAAAAGCTTTTTTTAATAAATTTAAAGAAGTTTACGGGGTCAAGTAGGAGATTAATGTTGATTATGAGTGAACATAAGGAAGTTAATCTTAGGTAGAAGTTGAGAAGGTGTTTAAGGTTTTTAAATAAAAATAGAGAAGTTGATTAAGTAGCTAATAGATAGAGAAGCTGTTGAGGAACTTTCTTATATAAGTTGAAAAGGAGTTAAGGTTAGTGTAGGCAACACTTTACACAAGTAGAATGTTTTTTTTAATACTAGAATAATGTGCATATAAATTTTATAAGGAATTGTACCACTGATGTTAAAGAATGACTTCTCATCTCAATATGTACCATGTAACATCATATGATATATGAAGTAGGAGATTGTATAAAATGTGATTGTTTAATGCTTATAACATACTTATTAACTATGTAAAGACAGTGTTTCAATAGCCCTACACCTCCAGAGCCTGGGACGATAGAAAATAGCCGTCCAACACACAGCCTCCTCTACATATCTATAAAACATGTGTTCTTTATATTAACTGTCATAAATGAAACCTGCTTTGTGTAAGAGGTTGCATTGTAAGACTGGCTGTTAATAATAATTTAAATATGACATGTAGTTTATATTGAATTCAGTTGTACGAAATAGAGAGAACAATGTTATGTTGAGTTAAAAATAATATCTTGTGTTTATATACACATATTGTAATTGTTGAGTGCAAAATACAACCTCTTTGGCTGATAAGCAGTATGTATACAGCGAAAGTGGTTGCATACTAGCCACCAAGGCATTTATCGCTGGTTAGAGACAATATATAGAAAAAAAGAAGGATAAGAAGTCAAGATGTGATCCAGATAGTTTTGAGTTTTTTTCTATATATTTTTGTAAATAAGTTTTAAATAAAGATGTGATAGTTTGATAAAAAAAAGTGTTTTGTATTTTTGGCTGCCGCACTGTCGGTAACAACTTAAACAGTAATATTAATTTAAATGTAAATAAATAATAAACATTATTTATTCTATCATTTGTGTGCTGGCTGAAGCAAATTCCTATCATTAACACTAATGATAAAAGGAGCTTATTACAATCTTATGAAATATTTCATAACATGACAATAATAATATGAGGTGGCTTATTGAACTGGAATTATAATAGTTTACAATGTCCCACCTCTATGTATATAAAATGTCTGCATGTGAAAATATTTACTATTTCTGCTGACTACTTATCAACATTAGATTTAAAGTTTATATAAAATGTTGCTTTAAATTACCAAAATAAAAAATGTCCATTGACATTATAATCCTTCCTAACTTGTAGGTCAAATTACGATGTTCTAAGGGAAATCTCTATTCTTTGTTTAAAATATTCGAATAAATCGAATTCTGTCAGTAATACCAATGTCAGCTAAAACTTCTCGCTTGTACCAGGTACCTTAATTTAATGCAGTGAAGCACTGCCTTCAAGTAGACTTCAGTTGCCTGCATTCTTTATTCTCAACAGCGCGCACTCTTAGATTAGTCTTCGAGGCCACGAACGTCCTACGTCCTCCAGGTGTCTGGCAGCCAACTGTGGTAGTCAACTGTAAATATTTGAAAACACTATATAAGCGTCAAGCATGTAACTTATTTATTTGGTAATCCTTTCCAATATCGAAACAATAAAAACACGTAACGAACTCTATAGGTTAGGTTATTTGTGGAACATTTAAAATTAAATGAAATTGTTTAGGTTAGGATTAGAACACCATCATATTCAAACTAAATTAGCGTAAAACACATACCTGTTTATTACAATTAGCCCTTAAACAGCAATTTCAATGTTTGAGTACAGTTTCGAAGTTTATGAGTAGGTGCACCGGGTTTTCGAAATTAAGTGACAATACTTTGAACAATTTAGAAACTACACCAAGGTTACATTTATTTAGCATTTCTACAAAAAACTTGACTATAAATGAATAAATCAAATGATAAAAAGGAAGATTTGCCTTTTTTCTATAGAGATTCTTAAATTAAAATACATAGAATAATAAAAAGTATGAAAACTTTTTACCGGCCAGTGCTTCGCTTGAATGCAACTGTCAACTGACCAGTATCAAAGAGTTAAGAGTAGTATGAGTAATAGACGTAAGCGTTATTTCCTGTCACTAGTTACAATCACCAGTGACGAGAAATGTAACGGCAACGGTGTTTCGAGTCAAATTATAGTTTGTCTAAATAAGATAGATTAGTTTGATAAATGACACATATGAAGTATCGAATTCAATTTGTATGATAGACAGGTATCGTAGTGACGAAACAAACACGCATGGTGAACAATTATAAACTATCGATATTCGGTTAAGATAATTATCGAACTCAACTAAAATTATTATTTCCTTATTAACTAATTTAGAGGTTAATTCTATTATTGCTTATAGTGTAGAGAATTTAGCGATGACAGAAATAATTGCGAAATCCAAATCGAATACGTACGGCTGTAATAGTGATAAACATTTATTTACTCTCATTATTTGTAATCGTCATTATTAATTTGAGAATACAGTGTTTTTTTTTTCAATTCACAAGTTATAACTATGAATCTATCGATTCCAACTTCCATAAGAATAAAAATCAAAAGTCGATAAGATCCATGACTGATTTTACATACATCCCTACTAAATTTGAAGTAAATTGTCAAACTAATCTAACTAGACACACTATAAAAGTACTGATTTTTGTAAATACGTTACTCGGGTGTGTTCGGTTTCGAAGTCGTGACGCCGAACAAATCACTAGTTTCGTTACGTTTCTCGAAAATGACGTACGATTCTAATGAGTAAGTAAATAGTTTATTATTTTTATTTTATTTTTTTTAATTTATAGTAGAGTAAAGGGCCAGTTGCTAATGATAATTTTTACCCGGGTGAGTAAGTAGTGAGATAAACCTGTTTTTATATAGAAAAAGGTCAATGGTGGGCCGCAGCACGAATTAAAATAGAAAATCAAATATTACCTAAAAATCCCTATTTTAACATATTCAACATCAATACACTATATTGAAATTGTCAGTCTTTGTTTTCAACATCATAGCAATATGTTGAAATTATGACAATATCGCAAGATACTTCAAACGTAAGGTAGACCGTAGATTTTGTAATTTGGTGGCCTGAAAGCCGTAGAACACGAAAATGCCGTAGCATACTGCACAACTGATGTTTATTTAAGATTATTAGAGACCGGACATTACGAACTATTTTTTTTTATCAAATGGAAATAGAACTACAAGGATTATATGGCAATTGGTATTTTTGTGAACTATCAATGTTATCTCGACAGCGTCATATTGTCACCAATCGTGAAGCGGCAACTGCAAGAGATGTCACCATTTTCATAATTTCGAAAGTTTACCTCATCTGTGCTTCAATAATCCAATATATGTTAAATTTGTGAAGATGTGTCAATTTAAATAGAAATCAATTTATGCAGGCACTCAGGTCATAAGTTACAAACTGTCAACATAGATTGGTTTTATATTCAACTTGTGGAAATTTCGAACGATGTTGGGAATTTTTAGTTACTGGTAACTCTAATTTGCAGGCGCTTCTTGTCAAAGTCAAAAAATGTCATCTTGAAAATTTTACGTTTTGGCCAATGAGGGAACGGCAACTGCACGGGTGAATGTCGACATTTAATAATTTCGAAATTTCGAATCCGATTTGGGAAAATCAGCTTTATAGTTTGGTTTTGTTTTTAAAAAAGTTAGGATATTTTTGCTTACTGATAACTCTAAAAAGTACTCAATGTCTAAAAACTGTAATAAAATCATTGTGATGATTGATCGAACTTTTGCTAAAATTGTAATTGTGGCAAACACAAACTATGGGAATAGTTGTTAAACATTTCTTCGTCCGTTCGTTTATTATTGAGTAACGTTCTACTTCTATTTTAATTATATATTTCAGATCCTGTGGAATTTAAAGTGACCAATTAAAAAATAATATTCAACGGCATCTATCGGAAAATTTCTTAAGATTAATTATAATTATAAACTATCGACCAGACCCGGCTTCGCCCGGCAGTATGTATTAAAAATATATTAAAACCTTATAGGTAGTATTCTTTACCACCCTTTTCTTATAAGGGGAGGATGGAAAGGGGAAGTGGATTTGATGGTGGAGGAGATGCTTAGGAAGGGGCATTATCCTCTTTATGAGCGTCTCCTCCGTCGGATAAGGGTAGGTAACGCATCCGCGATCGCGGATGTCTATGGGCAGCGGTCGCTTCGCCATTTTGGCGGATTCAGGTGGCCGCTTGCTCGTTTGCCACCTTATGTTATAAAAAAAAGACAAACAGGTAGCAGAAAGTGACTATTTTATACTATGTAGTAATTATGATTATTATTTTTGACAATTTATTAACTGATGGAGCTAATGCAGATTTTGATTAAACTGTTTAGGAACATACGTAATGATTTCTCTATACATATACATATTATATTTGGTTCTGTTTTATTTAAAGTTTAAACGAAAGTGTTTATAACAGTTGAGTGATAGGGAAGGACGCTGACCTTTATAGATATGGACAGGTCGATTCGTGGAAATTACTGCTTTAGCTTTGCTCGGACTTCAAACTACCTGTAAATTTTACTGACAGTTGTAATCATATTAATATTATAAATGCGAGTTTAGATGGATGGATGTTTGTTAGATATTGTAGCTTAAACGGCTTAACGGATTTCAATGAAATTTTGTAGGGGGTAGCCTGGAAGAACACATAGGCTACTCACTCTATTTTATAATTTCACGCTGACGGAGTCACGGGCGAAAGGCATTGGACTATCAGCCTTAGTATTTTGTGCCTATTTGTATTTCATTTTGTAAACTCGAACTATCGAATTAGAGATGGGACAGTTTAACTTATCGTTAACACTGGTCAACAATATAATCCTTCAAGATTTTTTTTAAAAATATGAAGATTTTATTACTAGTTCTATTCTATTTTTTTTTTCATGTCTAAATGATAACGTTATGATATCTTCCGAATACTTGTTATTAATCTTTATTCCAAACACTAATGTATATTTATGAATAAAAAATAAAACACGAATCAGTCGAGTTTTCTTCGTGTATTGCATCTTCATACACTTAATTAACATCAATTCCGGGGGATAGTGGCCTATACTAACACGGAAAAATCGGCATAGCTAAATCGAAGACTGGCCAGAGATAGAAAAAGAAAAGTTCTAAAGTGATAAACGGGCAAGTGGCATGTGGATTCGCCGAAATAGCAAAGCGGTTGCAGATCTGCAAACACGGCTACGTTACTTACCTATATTCGATGTAGGTGCGAATGCTCAGAAAGGGGATATTTAACTTCCTAAGCTTCGCCTCCTCTGCCGAATCCACTTTATTTATGTTATAAGTTGGCAAAAGAGCAAGCGGCCACCTGAATCCGTAGAAATGGCGAAGCGACCGCTGCCCATAGACATCCGCAATTGCAGATGCGTTGCCTACCCACGACGGAAGAGACGCCCGTAAATGAGATATTTCCCCTTCCAATGCGTCTCCTCCACCATCAAATCTACTTTCCTTTCCTATACTTACCCCTTAAGAAAAGTGTGGGAAGGAAAAGGGACTAAATTTAGGCCTCTCGCACCACAGTCATCAGATAAAACGCGGTATTGCTCCCACATCACGCCTGTCTTCTGTATGGTCGTGGTATTTCACCTGGCGAGCCGGCCCATTCGAGCGAAGGTATTAAAGCGGGCTCTACCACTATTGAATTCACTTCGCCTTTCGATTATTTACTTTTAAGAAATGGGTGGTAATAGAAAAAAAATGTTTTAATCTCTTAGGTCCTTATTTTTTTGGTTTAAACAAGGGGCGGTACCTAATATACATTATTGTCATTTTATTTTAAAGTTTCATTTATGTCAACAGGATAAGATTGTTCACAACATAACCTTAATGTTTCATTCCACGTATAAAATTTCCAGGGTATTATGGAGCTAATCAGTTTGTGTGTTTTTGAAGTCTACTGTAGTTTTTCACTTTGTTGACTACAATATCGCGTCAGGTTATTGTACGAAGGTCGCCTCTATGATATCCAATTGATTGTTATCTATAAAAGTCCGCCGGAATTCGTAAGCGCAATTGACATTCGGTCATGTTTCAAGAGATTCAAATATATATAGAGGAAGCATAGATGATATTTCAATTGCGACATTTTTAACACTAACGCTATCTATTGTTAGGTCCTCAATGCCAATAGGTGTTAAAATTTAAAAAATGTTTGTTTTTATTTTGTGACACTTTAATTCATTTTTTAACATAATATGTAGCTTGTTATAATTCTTTAAAATGTTTTATACCATGTCAATACAAGGACATGAAGTGGCGTACTAACTTGACAACTAACATAGTACCTTTCAAAGAAGTTACCGGTGAAAAAATGTACTTCCCTATGTCCAGTCTATATATTTCGTAAATGTCTTTGGTCGTATTATTTCACGTATACGATGGCTGCAGAGACAGTAGGTGGTCATGTTATTGCAAAGACTTTCCCATTTCTGTTATATTGGAGGAATTTTAGGGTAGCTACACACGGTTCAACAGATGTCAACGCGTAATTAATCTACTACCAGTACTGTTGCTCATTTACTTAATTTTGCAGTGTATTGGCGTTCTTTATGGTAACCTCAATTTGCCGTTTGAAATTGCAAAATAATTGTAAATATCTATAAGTATCTATAGACATATTAACCTCTCAAGATTTTACCGAATATTTTATGACAAAAGTTGAAAATAGAAATCTATTCCTAAATTACTATTAAAGTTTTTATCGTGAACTAGCTTTCACCCGAGACTCCGTCTGCAGGGTTAATGAAACATTTCTTAAAGTTACTGAGGGCCAATACAGAGATTACTCCTTTAAGTTACAGAGGTTGCGTATTTTAAGTTGTAGAGGTTTTGGGCTCTGATGAGAAGGAAGCATATTATTTTTTGAAGTTATAGGGGTTTTTATGTTACCGAGGTTTGAGTTATCGAGGTTCTACTGTATAACAATTTACTGTTTTCTCTTCATCATCATAATCAACTTGCCCTGTTTGTTCGCCTTGTTACTATTTTTATGTACTTATAGATTTTTTTTCTGGGATTGAACCACCTGACCTTATGTTACTTCTTATCTCAACTATCTCGATTTTTTTATAATCTAAAGTGGCAAAGGAGCAAGCGGACACCTGACTCCACCGAAATGAAAAGCGACCGCTGCTCATAAACATCCGCAATTGCAGATGCGTTGCCTACCCTTAATTGGCGGAGGAGAAGACGCACATAAAGAGGACATTTCCCCTTCCTGTGCGTCTCCTTCACCGTCAAATCCACTTTTCCTTCTCATCTTTTCCTCTTACGAAAAGGGTGGAAAGGGAAAAAAATTAGGCCTCAGGCACCACAGTCATCAGATGCAACGTGGAATTGTTTCCACATCATGCCTGTTTTCTGTGTGGTCATGGTATTTCCGGGCGAGCCAGCCCACTCGTGCGAAGATGTAAAAGCCGGATTTGCCACAGTTAACGATGTTCACTTGTTTTATTTTGCTATGATTTAGTTAATCGAACAATAATAAAAATGTAATAAGCACAATTTGTTAAGTTCTTCCTCCCATTAAGTCCAAACATCAATTAATTCCAAACTTTTGGTGCTGGGAGTTGAACCGCGAGAAATAATTTCCAATAACTTCATTAAAAGCAACGTATTGACGTTTGGGGCGCGCAAAGTAATTGAGTTGTACAAAATCAAACACATCTTCACGGCACAAAACGAGGGAGAGCCGTCCAGTTTGGCGCCGCCACTCGTTGTTATTAGTCGGCCTGACTGCCGGGGAGGGAAACCGGCAGAAGCTTTCCATACGTCAGACGAAGCTGTCGCGTCGCACTTGTCTCCGATACGCGAACATGTGTTGCCGCTAATTGCTAACTTGTGACCACATCTAGTGTAACGTGGTATCGTACATGGACTCCGTATAGGTAAGTTTATATTATACCACATATAACATGTATTATCATTTCAATAAAATACTATGATAATAAAATGATGGTAGTAAAGATTCTGGCGGATGAGATATGCTCTAAGTATCCATCAAGTCGGCTGTTAAATATATATGTAGAATAGAGTCAGTGTGTTCTTAGATTCAATGAAAATATCTTAGGACTTTTACAACTTTATAGACTATAAAACGGTATTATCTAACTTTTACGGAAGAGATAAAAAAATATAACAAACTTTTCGGGAAAGTTTAGATGCTTAAATGGTAATCCTTATACTGTTTTGACATTGTAGTGTTGTTTAGACGCTGTTTAATTACTTAATTGTTCTCGTAGTAGGTACGGAGTATCTCTTTCTCGCTCGGGCAAAAGAATTAGTTCTACAAATAATGGAAATTGCCTCAGCTGGAGACTTTAATTGTATCAAATAGATTTCCAATTTCGTTTCAGGAAACTTATTACCGGAAACGCAATGTTCATTAAGCTGCGACTGCCATTTGCCTTGCTTTAACGAATTCTTTTGACTTGCTAAGTTCTGTATAAACTAATTATCAAAGTATTTTATTATCTACTAGTATATTGAAGTTTTATGTAATATTGCATTCAAAAATATAATAACCGTTGCCATACCATATAAAGCTTATATACATTAGTTCTATTTCAAACTTTTTCATGCGATTTACTTCTTACGCATTAGACGCAAAATACAATTTTGTCATTATTAATCGAAACCTTATAGGTTCGTTTTACAGAGATGGTATTAATTAAAAAAAAAATATCATAAATTGTAGAGTATTCATGCAACAAACGTGATGCCTGTAGACAGTGGTTTTCATTTTCAAAATTACAAAAAAATAATATTTAGTCTACATACATAGAAATGTAGTTGGTATTTTGTAAAATCATTAGAAAACTAGTTAAAAAGTCCTTAAAATAGCATGGGCTTTTATTTTTTATATTTCCACGATTCCTTTCGTCCATAAAAGCTGTTCACATTGAAATGGTTGCTATGGTAACCTTATACTTTACAAAAACAACTCTTTGAAACTCGTTTTTTATTTTACACGAAGAATTACAAAAAACTTCAGCGATAAAACGAAATCAAGTTATGCTGGGTTGCTGAAGTTACCATTTATTTTATCATTACCTAGTTATTCTATAATGTTAATTTCAACAAAGTTTTAACGGTCTAAAACTTAAGTTGTGTTTTACAGTGGTAGTGGCTGCTTTAACATCTTAGCACGAATGGGCCGGCACGCCCGGTGTAATACCACGATCACACAGAAGACAGGCGTGAAACGGAAGCAATTCCGTGTTTCGTCTAATGAGTGTGGTGCCGTAGGCTTAATTTAAGTCTCTTTCTCTTTACCACCCTTTTCTTATAAGAAGAGGACGGGAAGGGGAAGTAGTTTTGACGAAGGTGGAGATGCATAGAAAGGGGAAATGTCCTCTTTATGAGCGTCTCCTCCTCTGTCGGATAAGGGTAGGCAACGCATCTGCAATTGCGGATGTCTGTGGGCAGCGGTCGCTTCGCCATTTTGGCGAATTTAGGTGGCCGCTTGCTCGTTTGCCACCTTACGTTATAAAAAAAAGAGTAATCGAAGCAGAAACACTAATGGTTAGAGTAGCTGGGAAACCGGCAATAAAACATGTAGTCGTGAGTGTGACGTCACGACTGTGTTTAATGACCAATAGACTCAAATAAATGATGTTTTGCGATAATCAATGATCGTTTCCGGAGAATGATTTTATTAATGCTTTTAAATACGTACACAACCTGTCATACTTATTTCATAAATAACAACTACTCGCGCCCGTCGCCAAATGGGTAGGCAGAGAACTCGGATCTTAACTTGACTTTATCCTTTAAAATCTCTATCGTGGTCTATACTATATATTATCTTTTTAATAAGCTTAATATTTTATAATATAATTATATTTAGACGTCATAAGATATACTATATATACGTTTAAATAAATTTACGAAAAATAAATTAAAGTATAAAATATGATGGAAGGCAGCGTTTGTTTTTTTTGGTTGTTGCGAAACGCTGCCTTCCAGCGATTTATTTTTTTTTAACCCTTAATTAGCTGAAATAATTTAAGAATATTGCTTAAGTAGAAAAGTATTGCACAAGTAACTGTAAGTATTCGTACCCGACCGTAATTGCAAAACCAATCGGACCTTTTCTAAAATAATTTAAAAGAGTTCTCTAACTTTTAGAGGACTTTTAATTTGTAAGGAAATTTGTTTTTGTAATGCTTCGCTGTTTCGAAATACGCACGGGTAAAGGTTTTAGGTGTTGTTAGTTATAAGTAACTAACGTACCTTACTTACGAAATTTTGAAATTATTTACCCTTGTAAAGACGTATTTATAAACATAGTCAAAAAATACTTACATACGCACTAGCTGTTGCCCGCGACTTCGTCTGCGTGGCATTAGAAAACATACGAGCTATATAAATAACAAAAAGCTAGTATCCCTCGGGAACCGGACATTTCTCGGGGATGAACCTTATCCCATGTGTATCTCATTGTTTTATATCTGTGCCAAATTTCAATATGATATGTTGAACCGTTGCAGAATCGAGTAAACATTAAAAAACTAAATTAATTAATACCACGGGAACCGTAACTATTGATGGGATAAAAAGTAGCGTGTGTTCTTCCAGACTCTGCTCTAAACCTGTGCCAAATTTCATGGAGATCGGTTCCGCCGTTTAGGCTACGAACGCTAACAAACATCCATCCATCCAACGTAACTTTCGCATATATAAAAAAATTATATACAATATTTAAATGAAAAAAAAAATGTGTAGGCGGAGTTAAATGCCACTGCTTATAATGTCAGGTTAGAAACAATCTTAACCATAGAATCTATGAAAAGTATTCATCCAATAAGTTTTATAGTTTATTGATATTTGAACTTATACTGACACTGATGTTCCCACTATAATTAGATAACTTTATTCATGTTCATTCAATGATAAGTCTTCAAAAGCTTGCGTAGACAGGTCTCTAGAAGCTCTAGACACTAAAGCTCTCTAATTCACAAATTAAATAACAATTTAATAGTCAATAACATCAAGTTAAGAGAATCAACTGGCATCACTTTGTGCAACGGTCAGTTTTAAAAAGCTTCTGATTTAATTGTAACAATCATTATTTTGATAGTGTAATTAACTTTAAAAAAATTATTTTTAGAAATTAACGATGATGCAATATGCTTATAGCTGTTAGATCATATATTTAATGGACATGGAAAAGATATAGGCAGAATACATTTCCTTCCTCATCTCTTCCCCATATTCTCTTACTCTTGATTACTTATCTTTTACTATTATTTTTCCATTCTTATAAAAGGTATTTTTACACGTCACAACTGTCTATATAAATTGGTGTCAGATAAACAAAGTTTATTATGTTATCATCGAATCGACTGAAATATCTGTTCCCTTTGCTATCAGACGGTTGTCCGAATTAATCAATTGAACCAAACGTATTCGCATTGCGAGTTTGACGTACAATTCAAAGCTATCCAATCGCAAAAACATTATTTCTATGGTTCAATCAACAGTAAGTTTTGTTATAAATTATTCACGATTTTTTTGATATTAACTACTTTAGTTATGTGGAAAAACTTATTTTCTCCAATTACCATACAAAAATACTTTACCATTTACACGACATCTAAGAATGATGATCTCAGGATTTCATTTGTTAAATACTAGCTTTCGCCAGCGACTCCGTTCGCGCGAGATTAAAAAAAAAACAAATTGATGCCTATGTGTTCTTCCAGATTATCCTCTACATCTATGCGAAATTTCATCGAAATCCGTTGAGCCATTTAGGCTACAAACTTTACCAAAAATCCATCCATCCATCTATATAAACTTTCACATCTAACTAATCGATCTAGCTAATATTATGAATGCGAAAGTTTAGATGGATGGATGGATGGATGGATGTTTGATAGACTTTGTAGCCTAAACGGTTGAACGGATCTCAATAAAATTTGGCACAGACGTAGAGCATAGTCTGGAAGAACATATAGGCTCACTTTTGTTTTTTTAATTCCACGCGGATGGAGTCGCGGGCGAAAGCTAGTTTATAATATTAGTCACATTAGTGTATAGGGTTTTAACTGCTAAAAAGTGCTATATATTAAGTGGGAAATATATTAAAAAAGTAAGATAGTATTTATTTAACTGGCATCAAGTGGAGTTTGTGTTGTCGAGCAAACACAGTTGAGTTGTCGAAACGTTTGGCTTCGTGATTAGAGCTGAAGTGTTCGTAGCGGTGTGACGAAACTAAACAGTTAACAATACTTTGATTAAAGTTAAATTAAACTTTGTACAAGAAAAATCGTACTCCATTAACATATGCATATAAATTGATATTCCTAGATATTGCGGTATGAATCGGAATTCGATTTAACAATGTTTAATTGAGTTTTTGTATAAGTACACGTACATATTGTAAGCAATATGATGTCACTATTGATAGGACCTTTACTTACCTTGGTAAACGAAGATATACTTGATTTAACCATTGTTCTATGGTTCTAGGGCGAAAATGTTAATGTTATTTTTGTTAATATTAGTGCTTAAAATGTCAAAAAGTCACCAACTATTATCTTTTTGGAGAACTGGTGTTCTCTTCAAATTTATCTTTCGTATCACCTCGTACATCACTTATAATTTATGGGCTTGTCGCTACCTATCATTCAGGATTAAAAGTCTTAAAAGAAAACAATTGAACGAGCATGTTGAACACTCCATACAGTAAGGAAGGTGTAGCTCCCAATGCAGCTCAGTAAAATGGCTCTTTATGCGATAATCAATACCCACAGCAACCATGAATAAGCCCTCACCATTTTGAAGTCGACGAGTCAAGAATACTGAGTAGGTGTCGTTCGAGATGTTACCACACTTTCCTTTTATTACAGATTTAACTTTCGATAGAAGCTCAATATGGTAATTACAAAATGTTACATTAAAGTAGCTTAATATGAAAATTATGAGGAACTTTTGTAGTTGATCTTAATTAGACCATTATGAAAGTGAAATTTGAATAACTGAACTAGGTTTGTATAGAGACCGCGAAAAAACTAATTATTTCAAACTACGAGTCACAATTTATCACTATTGTACAATATTTATTAAAATAAATAAAGAAAAAATACAAGATAATGTTAAAAAATCTTATCTCTTACCAATAACTTGTGTTGATTTCGAAACAACGTACGAAAACCTCTTCCTCGAATCTTCGGATGCCTTATTTTCTTTGACATAATTTTGATGATTTGTCTCCGAACATGACTTGTTTTTGAAGTATATTATTGAAAAAATGTTTTGTCACAAACAAAACGAACCAACAGTACCATGTTAACCGTTTGATGGGAATGAAGATTTTATCTCTTTCCCATCCCTCGCGAACAATTTATATACGGTTTGTAAAAAAATCCAAGGATCGAAAGAACTTTAAGATATATGGAACAAAAACATGTTTTATAAATTTTTAAGTGTAAAAGATAAGAACGAAATATATCACTTTTTACGGACTAAAATACTTATTTAAAAACTATCTAACTCGATGTCGTTTTTTAAAAAAAAATATTACCTTTTATTTGTAATAAAGTAACTAAAAGTGTGAGTAATTATTTTTTTTTAACAACGAAAAAATGTAACATGAAACTACACATATCTAAACGGTAATCATAAACTAATACTCTCTAGAATATGCAAACATTTTTTTTGTAATAATCATAGAATTAAAAATTGAAAAAATCTCTCAACGAGACATCTTAGAAATTAGATACGTGTTCAACATATTGATGAAGTCATATTTATTCAGGTGTTAATATTATCTCGTGTTTCCACTGCCTAAACATTTGTTTAAAAACATTTTTATCTCCGTTTTGTGTACAGAAATCGAGATTAGATGAGGATACATTTTTTACTTGTTAACCAATTGTATTTCCATTATTCAGAAGTCACTTAAATTAAAGAAATTATTTTCTAATTAAAAATATTTACGTAAAACTATTGGTAGTTTGAAGTATGATAAAAAACGATATACCGAGGGCTTATTTAAAGAAAGAGAAAGAAACATAGATTTATTTAAAGCACATTTTAATGACAGCAATCTAAGGATGTTTAAAATCTCATCTGGACTTAGTTAGTTCGAGAAGTATTGCACGTAATTAACATTGAACTAGACCTTGTGCAGGTGACACTTTAAGAGTTTCAAGTAAGTAATTAAGTCTTCCGTCGATTTAAATAACATCGACAGTTTAATTGAATATAAGGAATTTAAATTGGAAAATAAATAAAACTATAAACATTGCAGCTGGTTACATTGTTTCTACGTGTTTATTAGGAAACAGTCTTCACATTAATTATAAGAGATAAACTCTTTAAAGAAAATTAAATATAGTCTTTGTAATGTTATAATTTTTTTAATTAAGCACTTTCACATTGGAACTCAACGGCTACAATACTCAACACCTATATTTTTTATTTCATATTTTACTTACATTTGATGACATGAACATTGGTCAATTAATTCAGTCTAGCCTAATGTTGGGACTGAGACACCGTGGTGAACATGTGGGCCTACATCATAGCCGCAGCACGAGGCGACTCCAGACAAACGGTCAGCAAGAATAACTCCATGCAAAACAACTCCGATGATCACCTCTTCTCGTAAGTCTTATTTGAATAGGTTTTGTCACACTTAGAGACAAATTGCAACTAACTTGCACTAACACAATTATTTCCTGGTACGTGTATAGATTTAAATAACACTTAAGCGTTTTCCAAATTGAATTTGGAAGTTTAATAGGTCATCATCTTTCTCCTTATCCTATTCCCGTGGGTTGGACGCAACAGATTTTTGTCCTCCACATAACTCTATCATACGTCATCTCAGTTATCACTCCTTTTTTGATCATGACACCTTTCACGAGATCCGTCCATCTGTTTATAAGTCTACCTCTACCGATGTACACTTCCACTCTCATAACTAACGTTCTTCTTGTAATATGCGGTTCATCCCTCCTCATAACATGCCCATACCTTGCTAACCTTTTACTCCTTACTTTTTCTACCACTGGGGTTACTCTCAAACTTCCTCTAATATACTCATTTCGTATCTTATCCATTCGTGTTATATGTTTGGTTTGTAAATAATAAGCTTTAACTCGCTTTGATGTTTTTTAATAAAGTTATTATTCTGGAAAACTAACACTTTTTCTAGTAATTATTACTGTCAATTCGAATTAAATCTATAATCATTAGAGCGTGACAAAGAAATTTACATTTGTGTTTATTAGGTTTATAAGTAAGGATAGGATGCAAAAAAACTTGTGTGCCTAAATGTTTGCTTAACCGATCGTTCAGTATACAATACCGAAAAAATTATATAAAAACATATTTCTAGCTCACACAATCTCTAGTCTGATTCTTCAATAATTTCTGAGATAGCAGTATTGTTTTGGTATGATTTTTTCGAAATCGGCTATGTACTGGAAATTTTACTTGAATAACTGTCACGATTACGGACTTAATAAATTTGTTGCAATTAAAATGATAGTGCGGTGTTTTTGTGATTGTAATCAACAAATCCTAGCATCTTAGGGTCGCCGTGCACGCGGTGCTGTCGGCATAATTGTCTGTCGCCTCTAAAACTTGCTTCGGCCTGTCGTTAGTTTGAAGTTGTCCGTGTACGGCGGCCCTTATCTATTGCACTCGTGCTTTGTGGACATTATCAATAGGGAATGCATTTATTGTGGCTTGCTTCGTCTTGGAAAGTAACACTGTTCTTGTATATTTCATTTAAAGGTAAAAAAACTGTCGTTTTAACTAACTATTTTGACTGAATAAATGGCTACTCTTAACTAAGACGATAATTAACTATTAAAATATTTTTACGGTTTTATTTAAATTGCTCTGTTTGGGTCAAATTTAGTAATTTAAATTGCATTCTCTTTCAATTGGTAGACATCATAAGTTCTGAGCACAATGATGTTTTATTTTTTTAACGAATTAACATTTAACATTAACATTTTTTTAAATCTTATATTGTATGTACCAATTTGGGTACAGTTCGGCAATTAATATCCTTGTTGTTTAGCGTAAAATAATCACCAAAGTCCGTTGGGTCTCTAAGAAGTTGTTTTTAGACACTGTTATTTTAGAACACTCTACTGTAAGGTGGTTTCTATGAGGATATTTGATATTATATTTGTAACTGTGAGTTTCCACTGCTAAAGCATGGGTATAAAAACATGTTAATTATTTTTCCTATATAGATGAGAGATTGTGTTCTCTGTGTAAATATCGTTGTGTTTTAACACTAATGAAAAAGATTATTATGACTATTTTTTCATCTTTACTATCCCTTCTCCTCTCTTCTAAATGTGTCGTGTCTACTCTCTTGTCGTGTTTCCGTCGCGGTTCTCTATGGATTTTGGGAACTTAACATTCGACCGTTCGTCATTTGTTGTTTAATTTGTTTCTGTAATATTATCCTTTGTTCCAGTTATCGTGATGGCAAAGTATTCACTCTTTCGAGCTCTGGCGGCCCATGCCCCGGTACCTCTGGGTTGACTTCGCGGGATATAATCAAAACCAGATTCCCTCATTTCAAGAAAACTTTATCCACGAATACGCTAAATCCTTTACACATGGAGGCCAATTGTAAAAACGAGTTAGAGGATGGAATCGAGCCTTTTGAGGAGGTAAGTGAAATGTTTATAGTAAAGATGAAATTGTCATATTTTACGAGTACGCGATATATTTTCTAAATATTTACCTATGGACATCCGTTGTTCTCTGTCTGTAGTATTTAAAAGCAACTAAAAGAGGCCTTTTACGGTTTCAAAAAGATTAAAAGCAACAAGTATCCTACATCGTAAAATAATCACATTTTTGATACTACAATAACTTTCGATTTTATAAAATCAACTAACTTTCGCCCGCGACTCCGTCCGCGTGGAACTAAAAAAAAAGTGGGTAGCCTGTGTGTTCTTCCAGAATATCCTCTATATCTACAACAAATGTCATTGAAATCCGTCCAGCCGTTTAGGCTACAGACTATTACATCCATCCAACCATCCATCTAAACTTTCGCATCAATAATATTAGTATGATTGATTTCCAATTCATATAACAGACGAATTAATAAGGGTTATGAATACTATTCAAAATAATCACAAGGCATTTAATTTTAAATGTTATTTCATTTCTCGATACTCGTTAATGCCAGTACTCGTTTACATTCATGTAACTATTAGTTTGAAGAAGATTGATGACCTTTTTATTGGGTCACCATTTGTTTATTGTAGATTCACCCGCTAACAATTTTTATTCATATTTCTTTAATTCTGTTTTTTTTTTCTTTTTTTATATAAGTATTAGGATTACCTTGAGTATATTTACATATGTCATCATCAGCTATACATCCCCAATGAGAGGCTCGAAGCCTACCCTAAATCGGGGTGACTAGGCCACGCTGGCACACTGCTGGTTGACTTCACTAATATCTTTGATTTTTTTGCCAATGTCCAGTAAGAGTGTCAGGAAAATTGAAAACATATGAAATTCGATAAATCGAAAATCATATTGGTGCATAGCGGAATTCGAATTACGAAGCTGTAGATAACAAGTCAAGTGTTTAAACCTCTGGAGCCACCGACGTTTTTATTTACGTTTACATATGTATACAATTGTAATGTATAATATATAAATTAGCAAAATTTCAATAAAGTTGTGTTACAATTTATTACAAAGGAGTATACTAGTATAGATGAGTGCATAAATTTAATCGTTGTCAGTTTCGTTAAATTAACTTAAGCAAAAACAAACAATCAACAAATTCGCAAAACAAATGACACGAAACATTTTATCTGACAATCGTCCAATTAAAAAAAATAGCTTAAGCTAACGAAACTAATAAACGGCAACACTTAAAATAGAACTGTCCGACATTGACAAAAAGAAACGTTGTCCGAACGATGTACAGTCAAACACAAACGATCCTTGTGTAAGACGTGGCGTCCATACGAAAGTACGACCGCACACAAGGGCGCGACCCCGACCCGATGGTGTCCGCAGAAAGACTCAATTACCGCAAATAAAACTCAAGAACTACTCGAGTCGGAGTATTACTATTGAAGTAGTCATTTATGAACTCTTATTTTAAATGTCACTGTAACATACAGACATACAAAGTTACAGAAATGGCATTTACTAATTTTATGGTGGTTCTAATTGTATTGCAATTTGGAACACATGCAATGTAGTTAGGAAGAATATATAAATTTGCGTGTATTTACATTTTTAGTGCTAACAGGTAAAATGGTAAACGAAAAGTATTAACTCCACCTGTTGATTTCTTAATTCAGTTAAAATTACAAACAACGATGAAACGTTTAGACATCGAAACTTGATCAACTTAATACATTAAGTTTTAAAGGGGGCAATTAGGCTTATTACGTCCTACGGAGGTGGTCGGGCAATCACTATTTACGACAGAAACTACGGTGAACGCGTCATAAATGTGACATAGGGAAGCGCTGTAGCAATCCTCATGGCCTATTGTTTCGATGGAGCTGCCTTGAACACGCACTGACTACCCATTAATTTTTAGTCCTAGCGATCATTCACAATTCGTCTGCCGCGACAACAGCCGTCGGGTTAAAGTTCTCAAGCGTGCTTTTATTCAGTAAAAAGAGTGACAATCTTTTAATTATCATCTACCTTCGACGGCTGAACGGACTTTTAATTAAAACACACGATCGGCCGATGTCGTGACCGGACCACCTAAACAATTACCTGATACCGATCCGTGTTCAATTTGTTGACGAGTCTTAATGGCACTATTTTCTTTTGCGTTCAAACTCCTCAAATTGCAAAATACTGATAGCTACAAGTGTTTGATTATATTAAACTACTGTAGTCCGCTGACGAACGTGTACTTGCGAACATGAGTCCAGTTTACGCTATACATAAAATACCAATGGGAAACAATACTGCTCCGGTAAGTGACTTTACAGGACATAACGTTAAATTAATATTTAATTACTTCTTCCTGCCTCTCCAGTTAGCCTCGGTTGTCAGTCAGTTTCCCATAATCTCATAATTATATTTAATAACAAAAACATATATAAAATTGACAGGGATCCCCATAATACATTAATAGGCAAGAATAAAACTAATAATATTGATGAAGATATACTATTAATTATCCTTTATTTATCTTAAGTTTAAATTTATTTATTTAAATCATGACATCTGCGTTTTAACTTAAAATTTTTAACTGTCTTTAAAACATTGTTATACAGCAATTTCGCTATTTCTACGAGTAAAATCGATAAGTACTTAATCCTAATATTATTTACTGTGTTGACTCCAAACGTCGTGGCGGTCAGAAGAATAGCGACGCTAGTAATTATAGCCACGTTTAATGGCCGTCGCAAGTGGACCGTCCCTGTCTGTTGCTTAGACCGCCATCTTTGAAACTTGCAATTTACGACACGGTAAAAAAGGTATATTAAAATTTTAAACGCGATATTTTAAAAGTAAAATCTTTAACTATTTATTATAACGAAGTAAACAAGAAGAATGTTAGTAAAATATTTCCATTTTATACGAAATTCACGCCGATCAATCACTTTGGCGCCAGAAAGTCGACGGCAGTCAACTTGTTGCTTTTCGTCTTGTCCACCTGTTTATACGACTTCACATCGGTAGTCAATTATTAATCTGATCTGATCACTTATCTTCAAATGATAAAGTATTTATTTGCTGGTGAAAATTAAATTTCTAATGTCAGTGTTACCGTAAAATTATCACATGTAGGTCTTCAAAAGTACGTCTATCAGGCAATTACTTAACTATAGTGTATGAAGCTTCGACTAGACTAAATGTGGCATTTTAATCAAGCTTTAGATTTATGTTTTAAATTATTAAGAATAATATTAAAAAAAATCATGTGCAACATCCTTCCGATCAACCTCGGTTAATTAGGCACTCTCTAATCATGATACGTCGCTCCGCAAGCCTAAGTACATTGTACACCCTGTATATACGCGCCACTGATGTCATATTTGCGACTACTTCCCATTTAATTGTATTTTTATTGATGTACATTTAGGGCTGATTCGGTTTCTTTTTCTGTCTCTAATGACCTGTCACTTGTTTTGATAAATTGATAATAAATCGCATTGAATTTGTGTTATATCCCTATAGTATAAAAAAGTTATATACCTTATTATAGAGTAGTAATATTTAAAAATAGTGACAATGAAGATCTGCACAGCGCCATCTAGCGGTTACTGATATGGAACGGATTGTGCACTTGTTGATCTGTTGGCATCGATAATAAGCAGATCACGTTCACACTTTATAACAATAGAAAAGCTATTTCGAAACCATAAGGAAAATCGTGACCTTTTTGGACGAGGAAGCTATGTATAAAATGTCTCGTGTTTCGAATTGAAAAATTCTATTTCATCAAGGTAGCTTGGTATGTGTGATTAATATACGATACACGTCTACAACGCTATTTCATAGAGAAAAATTGCAATATATGAATAATATCAGCACCTTATTTTTTAAGAGGTCGATATGCAATTTCCAGCTATCGAGACATGTAGGAAAAACACTCTCATATGCCGCGAAAAAACCGATATAAATAGTGTTTGAAAACTCTGAAATAGAAGCAACAAACTACAAGGAACTTGTGAATGACTAAAAGAATCGATCAGGTAAACAAAGATTCACTAATAGAAAGTAATCTTTTTGCCAACAAAACCTCGTAGATCAATGTTCGGCAATTAGTAATTAGAGATCACACTATCTGTGTATGTAATCTGGAACAATAGAAGTTATTACTTACTCCAGCTTAATTAAACAACGTCGAGGTATACTACAAGTATAGTATACAAGCGTACGCACGCCGGACAAGGACCACGCCTTCGTAGTTCCGCAAACAACTAGACTACGCGATATTTATTCCAAATTCTATTCAAGTCCATTCTAACCACAGAGTACCGTATAGATGTGACAAACAGTAATTATTACAAATCGTATTTACGACGACAAATTAAATCGTTTTCGTGAATTTTAAATGATCCATTTAGAATGCAGTTTCATCATAAGAGGGGTGGTATTATTGTAATACTATTTGAACATGGAATGCTAAAATCTCCGAAACATTTTAATATTACTCTCTTGGCAAAAACTTGATAAATTCCACGGTTTGATTGTACTCATGACTTAATAAATTAATTAGAATACCATTAACACGTCAGTTGAAGTGCATTAATAACACAGATGAAACAATTATACTAACTTAAAAGCCTAAAAATCGACATGAACCTATCAGATATCCACTCTGTACGATTTCCCCATTTGCCTATTATAATGAATTACTAGCACAAGCATAAAACTTACTCGGATTGGTTAAGAATAATATTAGTAGTTATATTTCATTATATTAAAAAAACATGCATTCAATATTTTGTACACCACATATTTGCCAATTGTTTTTTATTTTGTTGTTTTTTGTTGTCACCATTTGTTTGCATTCAGTTAATGAAAAATTTTTGTCCAGGCGGTTAGTGATGTTGGTCCAAGATCAAGCTGGATTCAGAGGCAGGTGTCCCGGTTCGCTCGAAACCTTCGATACCGGATCACCGGCGAGGGTCGCACCAAGCCCCCTGACTTGTTCCTGGACAAGTTCGCAGCACAGACCTTCTCCGATCCCGATGAACCATTGTATCAAACGAAGAGATCAAAGCTTCTTTGTGGACTGAGATTGGCATTTGACCCAACGCTACCAGCACATTACCATGTAAGTATAATGAAATTGCACAGGAATTACATAAGCCCACTTCGCTTTTTACCATCGGACGTTTCGCCATACGGCTAGTCACCAACCTGTCATAGTTGATATTCAAAATTCAAACGAAACGTTTTGACTTGTCGTTCCTCAGCAAACCACTGCAATAGGTTGCCGGCGTCATTGTCAGAAACAGCTGTTCTGAAACCTTCTAGAGTAGGGCGAAAGACATTTAATAGTGTATCGTGGAGCATATCATCTTTCGACACATTACCACTTAACCACAGGTTTGAGAATCACCAGGGAATGAGGCCAAGCGCTAGTCTGTTCTTTATACATTTTGCTTGTACGTGTACATTTTGCTTTTTTTTATGGAAGGCCACAGGCCAAGATGTACGCTGGCTATCTGAAGTGACAATTACTAATACGCATCTACTTGGTTCTAGTAACTTGCAGGTTTGTTAAACCGTTAATGTACTAGTAGTGAAAGTAAAATTTGCGAAAGTTATTAATGATTATAACAATCTTAATTTTCGACAAATTTTTGGTAGAATGATGTTCAGTATCATTAAAAAATTATTTTAAATTAACAAAGTTTTGTCTTCCCATAGTGGTTAGCGGTGGTGTCACTAGCCATCTTATACAACGTGGTATTTGTGATCGGACGAGCTGTTTTCTGGGAGTTGGACAACCTTACAGTACTCTGGTTCATCTTGGACTACCTTTGTGATGCCATTTATCTCATTGATACTGTGATTCATGTCCACGAAGGTATGTTTTTTTAGCACTATCAACTTTTAATACCTTTAACTGTATAAGCTTTGCGATGCTGTGCGCAGTTTGTAAACCATTTTCTGTGCGTATGTCATTATATTTAAATACATTGTGATAATTAATCTATGTCAATGTAAGTTATAAATCCTCGATTTGTGTATTTAATACTGCGATATGGAAAAATTTAATTCAGAGCGTAACTGAATGTTTGTATGTATTGTTTGCAAACGGATGAAGCATCGTGTTTGGTTCCAAGATAAAGGGCTTTTAAATCAATAGAAGTCACAGAGAAGCAAGTTACGAGGGTTGCTTACGGAACGAACTCACAAATCAACAGTTTGACACCCACACGGCGCGTACGGCCGCGCCTTGCGTCATCAAATTTAGCTAACATGTGGACAAACACGCGGCCTTGTCTAGTTGCTTTTTCCGCACAAATATGGAAATGCTTTCGTGACACGGTCGCCTCTAACTGGTGATCGATGGATGGGCCCTAATTTATTCTAATCTTGCGTCTTCTAATGCAATTAAATCTTCTAATTACACTTTCCTTTTAAACTTGCATTAGTTGTATAACAAAAAAAAATGTATTTCATTTACTGTTGGATATTACTAAATTATTAGAAGTACGTTTTTCAGGTTATCTTGAGCAAGGTCTCATGGTGAAGGACTCAACAATGCTCAGAAAACATTATCTGAAGTCAGTTTCATGGAGATACGATCTCATATCTTTGATACCAACGGACATCGCTTATTATTGGTGGAAACCCGGCACTTGTGATTATGTTAGTAGTAAATTCCCGTGATTTTTAAATTCATTTTACATAGATCGTAAGTAATATAGTCAATAGCTAAATATCCTAAATATCATTATTGGTTGTCTTGCAGCAACGATTGCCGTGCCCTGTTATTGTACGACTGAATAGACTATTTCGACTGCCTCGAATGTGGGAGTGGTTCGATCGTACTGAGACCGCCACCAGCTACCCTAACGCTTTCAGAATCTGCAAGGTACTTCTACTACATTATTTCTAATTTGGTAAGGTTTCTATATGAATTATTTACAATACATAATGTATTCGTATATTTACAGGTCGTAATGGCAATTCTAGTCCTAATACATTGGAATGCGTGTCTATATTTTGCAATAAGCTACGCCATTGGATTCGGTACTGATAACTGGGTGTATAATCTTACCGGATCACGTAACGAATCTCTCGCTCATCAATACATATACAGTTTCTATTGGTCGACTTTAACTCTGACAACTATCGGAGAAACACCTCAGCCTGAAATCGATGCTGAATATTTGTTTGTCGTTGCGGACTTTTTGGCAGGAGTATTAATTTTTGCAACAATTGTAGGAAATATTGGATCGATGATTTCTAACATGAATGTTGCGAGAGTTGAGTTTCAAAATAAAATGGATGGCGTCAAGCAATACATGGCATTTAGGAAAGTTAGTGGGGAGCTAGAGGCTAGAGTTATTAGATGGTTCGCGTACACTTGGGCTCAAAGTGGAGCTTTGGACGAAGAGAACGTTTTGTCATCTTTGCCCGATAAACTAAAGGCAGAAATAGCTATACGGGTACATCTGGATACGTTACGTAAAGTGAGGATATTTCAAGATTGTGAACCTGGATTGTTGGAAGCGCTCGTCCTGAAATTAAGGCTGCAAGTCTTTAGCCCCGGTGATTACATTTGCAGGAAAGGTGATGTTGGCAAAGAAATGTACATAGTTAAACGCGGGCGACTTCAAGTGGTTGCTGATGATGGGAAGTCAGTTTTAGCAACTCTAAGTGCTGGGTCGGTTTTTGGGGAAGTAAGTGTCTTGGAAATAGCTGGAAATCGTACAGGGAATCGAAGGACGGCAAATGTTCGCGCTCTTGGATATTCAGATCTGTTTTGCTTGGCAAAACGAGATCTGTGGGAAGCACTAGCAGATTATCCGGATGCAAGGGCTACTCTTACGGAACGTGGCTGTCAATTACTTAGAAAGGTTCGTATTACTTCAAATACTATCGTTTTCCAAATGAAAAAAAGGTATAGTATTTTATTTTCAGTCTTTTGTATGGTTCACGGCAATGAATATTTTTCTAGGATGGTTTACTGGATGAAACTGTTTTTGAAAATGCTCAAACTACCCAACAAAGTTTGGAAGAAACTGTTCAGAAACTTGAGACAACTGTCGAGATGTTGAATAATCGTCTCCAAGGGCTTCTCGCTGACGTCGGCGAGGAACAAGCTAAGATAAAACAGCGAATTAACAAAATTGAAGTTAGGTAAGATTGTTCAATAGTAGATATATCGAAATGCAAAATAATCCCATGCGAATTTAATTTCACGTGTTTCATGTACGAATAATATTCTCGTTAATCGTAAGGCACGGCGAATGATAAAATTTGATTTGTTGACTCCAATAAAGCAATATTATTTTTTAGAATAATCGAATCGGACGATGAAGATACTGATTCAAATGATACATCAGCTGACGGTTCAGAATTAAGGAGCGATGTGGTTCAGGTTTATGACTCAAGTTCCGGTCCACCTATAAGTTCTCCACGATCCACAACGATGTTTACGAACCATCCCTTACGTGAACGAGGATTCTCACTGAGTGTTGAAAGAACACCAGGACTAATGCATTTTCCACCCGAACCACGAAGCAAATCGTTGCGTATCAAGAAAATTCATAAGGATATATCAAAGTGAAAACAAACATAGAACAGACGAGTCAAAATACTATTAAATATGACGCATGCGTCGTTCATTTTCTTTTAATAAATGAAATAAATTTCATAAATGTACAACAAAAGTGTTGACTAAAAATCATTTTGTCTTACTCTCTCATTATTTAAGACGGAAATTATTGTTGATTATCGTTTAGATTGTAGATTTATGTAGCTCTTTAAATTATTATGTTTTGTTTTTATTTTTTAAGCACATAAATGTATGCAATTTCTGTTAATTCCATTAATCATAAAAACCTTCAGTTCGTTACGTCAATATAAATATTTTAGGTTGATGTTTTATTCCTCAGTGATCTCCAAGTACTGTCATATTTTTACTTTTACGGCAGTCACTGCATGTGGTAGAGCTTTATATGATCGTGTTTATGGATTAGCACCCTATCTCAGTGTGTCAAGAGAAAGGCATAAAATTTTAACATTGATTACTTTTGTATAAGTATGTAAAAAGTAAGGATTAAATACATGAAGTTACAATTATTTTACGGTAACTGAAATTAAAAAAAAATCTTGTTTGCCAGACCAAAGATTAAGATGATATCCATAACTTCTGGATTTTGTCGTGCGGCGAAATTTACATCTGAATGATGTGTTATAAAAATAGGATCTCCGTAGCTTTAATAAGTCACAATTGTATTTTATCAATTATGTTGAAAAACTAATATTTTGTCGCCGCGCGGCTTAATAACAGCTAATAGGCCCGAGGTCTAAAATATAGTTAAAAATGATTGTTACGCGTCGTGCGTTTTTCAAATAATAACCAAAATATCAATGAAGTCTATTAATAAACTAAGATAGGTAAATATATAGTATAATTAGATAATAAAGTGCGTAATATTATTTAGGTAAAAAATACCACAGAAGAACAGCGCATGTGCTGAGTGGTTTTTTCTTTAATAAATAAATACGATGTAGAGAAATTTACATTCAAGTTATATGAAGTGGTAAAGCTGGCCGGATAGAAAAATTCATTTCTATTATTACAAATCTTATTTGTAATTAATCCGTATAACTTTATTTCTTATTTTCTATATAATTCATTTTACAAAATTTGATGTAAAAATAAAATAAAATATTTTATATAAAAAATTGAGCACCACCAGCAAATATTTGTAATATTATTACAAGGACTTTACTAAGGCCTACCCTAACTTAGGGTAGGCTCTAAGCCCCTAAGTGAGGACGTATATTGAGCTGGTGATAAAGAATAATATGTTTTAATATATAATTTGCTCAAACGTCACCCTACTTATCAAATTATTTGCCAGACTCAAGTATATTATTATCAGAAACTCATTCGTCATATCGTAAAATATATCACTTGTCAAACGTGGACAAGTTTATTAAAAATCTGTACCACAATATATTTTAAATGCTTTAGCTTAGTTATTAAAAATCACAAGTAGAGTGTGTTGTACATGTTTGTTAAGTTGACTGGACGTTAGCAAGGGGGAGGGGGTTAACTGTGAGTTTCCACTGGCCAGACATCAATACTGAAATCTATTATTGCTTTCTTTTCGAATAGGATGCTCATCCTACCGAAATGTGTTTGGTATAGGGAGTCTAAAAGTGGCACCAGTACATAAATTAACGAGTAAAGGGTTTGCAAGATAAGGGCATATCACAAGAACTTTAGTTTATGAGTAAAGGACACCTGTAGTATGTGTATGATCAAGGAGAGAGTGACAACTGCCGACTATCAGAGTAAAAGTACGGGAAGATAGTGAGGATCTTTTGATTACCAAAAAATATAGAGCAAATATAACTGTAAAAAAAGAAATATCTGTAAATAAAACATTGTTCTTTCTCTATAGATTACCAATCGCTTTTTATATTTCGAAAAATTGCTCACAGCTCGTATACGTCGTCCCTCTGGACGGCAATATCTTTTGTTTCAAATTTGTCAACAGTAAAAACCCACTGTTAGAATTTCGTATTTAGCGACATATCATCTCTTGCGTCATACGTATGAAATGGATTTTATTGACGCACGTAATTACGATGCGTCCACTATAAGCCGGAGTTGCACAAAAAGAGCATAAAACTGAGTAACATAGACAAACAGTCTTTATGAGATGTCGTTATAAGTAACGTATTGTAAAATTATATTAATGTAACTGGCATTTGCAATTTGTCGCACAGAATAAAAAGAAAATAAATTATAAATAATAAATATTACTTAGTAAAGAAAGTGAATAAACGATCTAACAAGTAAAGAAATATGATATTTTTATCGATTGTATTTATACATCAATATTTTCAAATGAATATTAAAAATAAAAAATATATATTTTACTACTTGTAGAATGTCATATGTATTAATTATAAAGAGAATAATTGTAGAAATAAGTATAGTGATGTCTTGAAAATATCATTATTAATTTTTGGTACAATGTTAGTATGTGAGACTGACGCTTGTGGTTTAATAAAGTTTATGGAAAAAAAAGTTATTTCATTGACAAAGAGTTCGTTTGTCATTTACCTAAAAGATTACTTATGTTGAAAAAGCGGGATAAAAACATTCAAAGAACACTAGTAGGACAGAGAGGACTAGAATTAGGGCTCCGGTACACTAACAAGACGAGACGCGGAATTACTTCCACTTCAAGTCTATCTTTTTTTTGGTCGTGATATGGCACCAATCGAACTGGCCATTGGTAATTTGCTTGGCCATTGGTTTTAACTTTATTAAACTTACCTTTTTTAGCTATACATAAGTAATATCCAGTTTCCCAGCTATTTAAACCATTCGTTAGTGCTTGTGTACAACTTCATGAAATGTGTTTCCGAAGTACGTAACTTCAGTTTTACACTATTGAAACTTAATTCAACCTAACACTAAGGTATCTAAAATGAATTATTTTAGACACTTACGATAGTACCAAAATATCCTTACTACTAGCTAATAATAATATTGTGTCAAAGATCAACAAACTTTGTATTAAATCTACATTCTATAATAGTTGTCTAATCTTTGCAAACTAAATCTCTCTCTCTCTCTCTCTTTTCAAACGTAATATAAATTTACTTCTATCAATAGGTACCGGTGGTATTGTATTTATGACTTAGCAAACCAATAACAATTATGCTTTCATATTCGAAAATAATTCTGATGTGTGTTTGTTTTTATTAAAACGGGTAATAATAAAATTTAATCGGACAACACTAGGGTATATCATATCGCAGGCTAATAAAACGACCAATTGAATTTGAACAAGAATTGTTTTGCATACATTTGTATCAACATCAAGAAATAAAATCGTAAATTGAAGTGTAACAAAATCTAAATAAACTAACAAAATCTATGATATTCAGAAACCGAATAAGAACCTACAACTAGCTTAATACAAGATTAGCAATAAGTGATTGACTGACATTCTATTCATGTGAAAGAGGGACAAAGATTAAAAGGTACCTACATGAAAACATGATTTTATCTCTGTTTCAGAGGGATGACAATTCGTTTTTAAAATGGGAACTAACGGATACTACGTTTTTTTTTCTGAATTCTGTTCCCCTATTATCGAAGTCCAAGAAGTTAATTCTAACATTTGAAGGTAATTTCATCTAAATATCATTACGAAGAGTGAAAATGTTACAATCTATGAAAGATTTTTTTTTAAATATTGGATTCATTGAACATAGTTATCAGTCAATTACTTATTCCTGGCCTTGAATAAAACAGTTTTGTACACATGAAAATATAAGTGAAACGTCTATTTCAATCAATTCTATGTTTAGTGGAAAAAGAACTAAAGAACATTTGCACACACGAGATTGACGTCTTTATTGTTTGTTCAACAAATAAAAATTAAAAGTAACTTTAATTGTGATTTCCGAAGAATGCCGTTCTATTTCAATTTAAAAAAATATGCTATTCGAAATTTAAAATCTATTGTTATTTATTTTTAAACGGACTTTGGGGAAACTAATTCCATAAACATTATGTACAATCAAATACACATTTTGTTTTTAAAAAGGTTGAATCAAAGTGATCAATATAAAAGGTTAGTTTTAAAATAAGTTTATAGCTGTTTCATCAATAAAAGTATATTGAATTTAGATAAATTATACCAATCTGTGTGCAAAAGTTCTGTGTTGGAATTAAACAATTTACATCATATTACCTTAATAGAATTTAGTTACATTAACAACATCTTATTTTAACATCGAGAGTACAGTTACAAACAGAACGTTATTGTCATGCACGTTTCACTTCGAGATACACAACATTTACACACTACTCTGCATATATATTAATGTTTAAAAGTTTGATATATTAATTTTGAATAATTGAAATGCAATTCCCCGGCTATATCCTTTACTGTACTCTATTTCACCATTTATGAAGCAAGACATTTAAATATGTATATAGATATTAGATAAAAGTTATTATTGAAAAATCTTACTCTTATATATGTAGGTAATGAATCGGCATATCATTATAAACTAAATATTCGAAATGTTTCTACAATTCCGTTCGGATTCGGTAGAATTATAAGCGTTATTCCGCAAAGGCATTAAACAAATGAAGATTAATTGGTGCCGTTCAATATAATATCTTCTTTTATGGGTGGGAATTTTACTTTTCAACAACTTGCCAGTTTTATTAAAACAAGTTGAGATCGCATAAATGGCAAATAAAAACTATAACCTAATCCTGACAAATTTTTGAAAACCTAGGTACTAATTATTACAAAATACAAAGTTTTATAACAGTGTTTTGTTACATGAATCTAAAATTATTGTTGCTACGAGTTTAAGGATTGGTTTAAATGTGAATGAATATTTCATGGAAAGTTCTGGAATGGCGGCCACGTAAACGTTGTCATAGCATAGGTCTCCCGCAATATGGAATAGGTCTAAGGGAGACTGGAATGAATGGATGTAGTTGGCACAAGACCGGGTGTTATTGCGATCATTGGCGGAGGCCTACAAAGATCAATGCATGACATTAGGCTAAACATATTTTTACAAAAGTATCTTCTTAATTTTCTTATTTTTTTTTAAATTTTCCGTCTTAGAAGACCATAAGCCAAATTATGAAACTTTCCATCAAATCTACATAGATTAAAATTTGTATTTTGTAATACACAGTATGAATTAAAGGATGATTCACCTTAAAATGCATACTACCTAAATTATTTCTTTACATAGATGACTAACGAGTTTATTTTGCTTATTGTAGTTTCCATTCTATCGTCTTACATTTCACACGAGTGCAGATTACAATGGATAGTCTTGTGCTCCCCTATGTTTTTAAAATTTACATGAAACATTTCGAATACGGTGCCCCGTTTGACATGAGACTCGACGATGATTCTTCTTTCACGCCAACTGAAATTAATTATCGAAAATTTTAATTAAGTAATCATAATAACAACTAGAAAAGAGAAGTGGAATCGAAGTAAATTTTGTTTGAAATTAGCATGGATTCCTTCCTTGCTTTTTGATTACTTAGACTAACTTTTTACCTGAAATCAGATACAATATGGTGAAAACTTTATATTCTTTTTACTCTTTGTTCTTGAATCTCTATGTTAGAAATCTATTGCTATCTCTGTTTTTAATAGAGATTGAGAAAGACGGCAACAAAAAAAAAATCTTTCACCATTATGCCAAAGCTATGTCTTTTATTATTTTTTAATATTACGGAAACGAAATCGCGAGGAATATTTACATTAAGTATTACCATCCGGCCAGAATGCGAATCGTCCTGCTGCCTCAGACGACGTAACTGCTTCATGGCGACGGGTTGGGGAGTAACTGCTCGATGGTACGTAACCTCCGTTGGGACTTGGTGAACCAGCTGGAAGAAGCATTCGTGTTAATAACAAACTCTACCTTCAATCTCATAAATAATAAATATTACAAATTATAATTTGAACTCTATGGAATCATCATAACTAAACTAACACAATATTGCAAATGCGAAAATTGTTAATGTTTGTAGCCTAAACGGCTGAACGGATTTCGATGAAATTTGGTATAGATGTAGAGGATAGTCTGTAAGAACACATCGGCTACACACTTTTGTTTTTTTTTTAAATTTTACCCGGACGTAGTCACGGGAGAAAAGTAGTTTTAAATAAATGTGTCAATGCTTGTCAAGTTCAGTATAAACAATTTCTATTCAAGTTTAAGATTCAAATGTATAAACTTAATTACAATATTGTCTTTAAATATTCATATCTTACTTCTTACTAATATTATAAATGTGAAAGTTTAGATGGATGGATGGATGGATAGATAGATGGATAGATGGATGTTTGTTAGAGTTTTTAGCCTAAACGGCTGAATGGATCTCGATGAAATTTGGTATAGACGTAGAGGATAGTCTGGAAGAACACATAGGCTACTCACGTTTGTTTTTTTTTAAATTCCACGCGGTCGGAGTCGCGGGCGAAAGCTGGTAGCTAGTAGCTAGTAGTAGCAATATTATAAATGCGAAAGTTTAGATGGATGTTTGTTAGCGTTTGTAGCCTAAACGGCTGAATAGAACTCGATGAAATTTTGCTTAAATAAAGAACATAGTCTGAAAAACACATAGGTTCTTTTGTTTTTGTTTCCACGCGGACGGATTCGCGGGCAAAAGTTAGTATACATATAATTTACAGTGCTTTAAGGAACAAATATATATAACTAACTACATAAGTGCAATTAGTTTGGAATTGTGCTTTCACAAAGAATGTAACATAATATTAGTAAGTGCCAAGGACCTGATCCATGTTAACACTATTGTGTTCTAAAAGCGGGCGCACCTTTTAATAAAGTATTGTACGATTGGCGATTGTTTTGCATCCAACTGTTTAGTTGCACAACTAAAAATCGAGTAGAGTGTGCATCATATAAGCTCACAGGAATCGAAGAGAGACTAAACAGTTATACGATAGGTTAGTGTCAGATGTACCCACGCTCTAAATTGTAATGTGTATTGTTAGTATCATCATCATCACCAGCTCACTATACGTCCCCACCGAGGGGCTCGGAGCCTACCCTAAAGTAAGAGTGACTAGGCCATAGTCAACCACGCTGGCCAAGTGCGGGTTGGTTGACTTTACACATATCTTTGAATTTCTTCGCCGATATGTGCAGGCATCACGATGTTTTCGTTCACCGTAAGAACGTCGGGTAAATTATGTACATATGAAAATTCGAAAAATCAAAAAACACATTGGCACAAGGCGGGATTCGAACCCAAGACCTGTAACAGGTCAAGTGCTTAAACCACTGAGCCACCAACGTTCGATGATCGATGATATTGTTAGTATGCATTAGCTAGAAAAGGGAAGACAGTTAATATTCATTGAACATTCAGCGTATCTTACTGAAAATGTACGTCTTCTTAACTTAACTATTTTTGGTTTCGAAGCACTTGTACGAAATCATATCGGTACCCTTTGAATAAATACAGTCAACGAATTTTATGTCTACAATAATGATGCAGATGTCCCATCAAGTAATAAGTACAGCAAGATAAGGTTTCTTAAAAAATCATTACAAAATCATCTTATATTATTTTAAAATTCATCCTAAATCCCTTTCCTATTAAAACCTACCGCATTTCGATTACCGAAATACATACATATTAAAAAAAACATATGAAAACAATGGCATGTGTTATACAAACATAAAAAAAATTAGGGACCAATTGAATACCTCCTTCTTTTGAGAAGTCATTTAATAATAATTTAAAATATGTACATCTTCATTTGACTATTTGTTTACGCAGATATGTATATCTACACATTCAAACACGAGTCATCTATCACATTCCCGTGTGTAACCTTCTACCAGCTATCTTTCAAAGTCCCATCATAATCGGACCATCCGTTACGCCATTTTGACAGCGCACAATGAAAAAAGTAGCCTATAAAATGCCATATGCCAGCTACCCTAAAGTGAAAGTCCGGTCGAAAATGGTCTAGCCGTTTCGGAGATTACCCGGAACAAACGCGGCTTGCGGACAGACAGACAAAAATTTTTAAATGCGATTTTCGTTATCGGCAACGCAAATACGTCATCTTCCTGAAATCTGGATTTTTTTTTGATATTACAAACAGACATTCCAATTTTATTATATGTATAAATGTAGATAATAACTATAAGAATATACTCGGTGTTCAATCCAGTAAATAATGTGTTTAATTTACACACAGCTAAGCTTCAAAGCTTACGTTGTTTTATATTAGAATCCACGACACGCTTCGTGGAATATTACCACGACGTCACAATTTACTTTACCAGGTCCTTAATTAAGTTGTTAACTTAAGTACTAGAGGTATTCCAGCACTTTGATGTAAGAAAGGTTAATTGTTCTGGACTAAATTTAAACGATTTTAATAGCAGAAAATCTTTATCTTTTTCAATTGGTTTAATTTTTAATTTAAAATATTATTTTACTTAAGTTAGATTACTCAAAACGCGTACTAGCGACGACCTTTCTTTTCAGCACTTGTTGTCCACTTATGTTCCTTAACGTGGGATTCCACTACGCCGACGAGTACAGACGACACAACGCGTAAAATCGGTCTTCTTGTACCAATACAAAAAAAAACTTTTATACACAAACATATAACACTTTGTTATTTACGTAGCCAATAAAGCATTGAATAACCCAAAACATTAAATTAGTTGAGATGACTTTTTCATTGAAAATAGCGCCCTCTATAGTAATTTTTCGTAACTAAAGAAAATGTAACGTGTTAACTGTTATTTAAATGTGTTGCCAACAGATGTCTCTGAATTAAATTATTTTTATCCCATAAAAAACCTTTAATTTACAACGCTGATTCTTATATTAAGAAACTATTCTAAACTACATAATTATTTCTAAAGATAATCACTTATTGTAATAATTATACAGTGCTACATAGGTCCGTAAAAGGGTGCAATTTTTTCATAGACTCTCTAATATATTTAAATAATCATATGATACCACTCATAAACTACAATACTTTAATTACCCATATTATATTCGTTAAATATACAAACACCGAGCAACATTTAAACCCGTAATACGTGTGAGCTGTTAGCTTTTGTCTCGAGGTGGAGAGACGGCAAACACTTTACCTACATGAAATAAATCTTAATTAATCTCACCGTCGTCTTCAGGCTCTCTCGGCACGTCGTCAGGTATCTCGCAACCAGGTTGTTGCCAACTTAGTCCTCCTTTCAGAATGCATGCAAAAAAAGCGCCGCATCATTTCATATCAGTCTCTATTTCTTCAAATTTCTTTAATTATATTTACCACAAAGCTAGTAGGATATTTGTGAATTGATAGTAATGGTGCTGCTATAGGATATTGCATTTATTTTATACCGTATTTCCTATAAGTATGATAATTGGTAATTTGTTTTGCAATTAAACTGTAACCATGGATTTTATTATTCTAAAACCTATTCTGAAATTCTGCGCTGCTGTTTAAAACAACTAACAAAGGTGAAGACCAGCCGATATGTAATTCTGTCATGTGTTAGAAGTTAGAAGCTATTATAGTATGTCTAAATAATTTAGATTAGTTTGACAATTCACTTCAAATTTAGTAGGGATGGGTTGTGTAAAATCAGTCATGAAGCTTATCGATTTTCGATTTTTATTCTTGTAGAAGTTGGAATCGATAGATTTATAGTTATAACTTATGAATTGTAAAAAAACCACTGTTTACTCAAATTAATAATGACTATTACAAATAATGAGAGTAAATAAATGTTTATTACTACTGCAGCCATACGTAATCGAATTGGATTTCGCTATTATTTCTGTCATCGCTAAATTCTCTACACTAAAATCAATACTAGAATTGTCCTATAAATTAGTTAATAAGAAAATGATAATTTTAGTTGAGTTCGATAATTATTTACACCAAATATCGATAGTTCAAAATTGTTCGCTATGTGTGTTTGTTTCGTCACTACGATATCTGTCTATTAAGTATGGCATGGGAAAGTATGCTTTCATGCAAATTGAATTCGATACTTCATATGCGTCATTTATCAAACTAATCTATTTTATTTAGACAAACTATATGTGTTATTTTTGTAAGTCGAATGGTTGAAAGATAAAAATTGAGATAAGCAGAGTTACAAAAAAAAAACTTAGAACTGCTGTTACGATTAACTTTTCTGATATTTTTTTTAATACACATTACAAGGATCCTATAAAATGTAAATGGCGCATGAAACTTCGATAATCTGTACTTAAGTATTTTAAACGGTATTTTAGTTAATATAGTGTCTTAATTTTTAGAACAATTTCCCGAGATAAAAAAGTAGTATCAAAACTTTTTATCTTATCTAAAAGATCTATTTCGAAGGCTGAAGATTCAACCTTTTTTTGTACCAAATGTAAGTCGACTCTTTTCACCTTATTAAGTGGATTGTCCTGACCCTTGAAGGCTTCGGAACTGTATTTGTTTTTATAGTTTTAAATATGATATATCAATAATCTTACCTTCCTGCCAGAAAGAGAATCTGGCAGCAGCACCATCGGACGATGTAACAATGTCGTGGTGTCGTGTTGGTGAAAACGCACCGGGCGGCACATACCCCGGTCCTGGACTTGGAGAGCCGTCTGGAAATAACGAATGGATAGTTCAGCTATGATAAATAACTCATGGACGTTTATTGGACAATTATTATTATTATTATTTATTAGTACATTTTTGTTAATTTACTAATAATTCCTTTAACCATTTCAACTAAGCTCTAGGCTTGTGCTAGGATATGGTTCACGAATGGAATTCAGGAATGGCGGGATTCGATCATCGACCGCAAGATCAGTAGTCCGTACCCTAAACCATTAGGCTATTGGCGCCTTATTTGTAGTTAATGATTAAATAAAATAAATGTTGGGTAAGTAAAGTTTCGGATCAATGGATTGCATATGGCTAAGATGCGTGTTTTAAGATGTATGGTGTGACAAGAAGGGATAAAGTTAAGAATGTGTGTATTAGAGGAAGTTTGAAAGTAGCGCTGGTGGTCGAGAAATTTATTAGCAAAAGCGTGGTAATAAAGTAAAAATAGACAAGTTATTCGACAATAAGTTTAGGATATAAACAATAAAAGTGTTAAGATTGAACGTGGATGGCTATAAAGGTAGAGGAAGACCGAAGTCAGTATGGATTGTGTGAAAGAGGAGATGCGGAAGGAAGCGAATTCAGATATGACGGCTGATAGAAATGTATGGAAGAGCATATACTGTGCCGAAACCTTAGGGACAAGGGTAAGCTGATGATGATGATAAAAATAGCTGTAAATGATATTAGACTTCATTTTAGTTATGTTTTACATTTACATAAGTAATGTATTAGTTATGTCGCTTTTCGACCAAATCACCACTCATTACAAAAATTCTATCACCGTTAGAAATGTAATTTATTTGTGAGTAACATAGGCTATATACATATTTCTTTTATTATTTTTTTAATTTCACGGGGACGAAGTCGCGAGCAACAGCTAGTATCTATTTGATAGACTACAGTGCTGATTTATACCGTCCTTAGATATTACTTTTAATTTAGTATCAACTTTTACTGTGGATATAAAGTATACGTTAAAATCAATCGTTGATCGTAGTCTCGTAGAAAGCATGTAATTATGTACAGGACTATACGAGTGACACAAATGCTTGGAATTAAAACAAGATGATACTCGCGTGGGATTATTATGATTATTATTTCTCACGTAACATAATGATTATTTATGTTTCAATCACCCATTATACATATACATAAAGCTATTATTGAAAAGATGTCTTCTTTAGTATTTTTTTCATTAAAAATAGTTTTCGAAATAGACCTTTCATAAAGATTGTTTTATGTGTAAAATATTGATAATTAAAAAGCAATTTGTCTTTGTTTACATAAAAGAAAAAAAAATAGAAGAGAAACGAAAAGAACAGCGTTCATCCTGTTCTTTTAATTTCTCTTCTATTTTCTTCACAAGAAACGAAGAAACATCGTATGGGTATGTTACAAGAAGGACGTTAGTTATGAATGTGGAGGTACACCGGTAGTAGACCTAGAAAGAGATGGATTTGTGAAAGGTAAAATAATCAAGAAGGGGGTGACGTCTGAGATAGATGATAGAGTTATTTAGGGAGACGAATTAGGTAGTGAACATGATGAAACATGCATAAAATGTTTGTATGATATTTCGTATCTTTAGATTATACTAAATTATACCAAAGTATTTGTATTACGCATTGTAAAAAAGAAAATAAAGGTATACTCACCGAGGCCGACACCTATTTGGTTGTATGTGTTCATGGACATAGACTGCATCGGTTGAAGAGGGTTTTGAAGCTGGAAGGAAACGATTTTTCGTATAATCACTTATATAACAACTGTTTGATCGGGAATCTCAATAAATTTAAGAACATATGATCTTTAAATTTTGAGAAAATAAGGGTATGTTATAAATTACAACTTAGACAAGACACATACTTAGTTTAAGCATTTTATAGATCAAAGGTGAAGATAGAAATTTGAATGAATTACTTTACTTTAAAGATTTGAAACTTTACATGTTCGAGAAACCAACGTCTTTTTACATTGTATTCTCGTGTGATACGTAAAGTATCTCATAAGAAAAGTGAGTATTTTTCACACGCCTTTTGTGTTATCTTTAATGTTAAAAACGTAGTAACGATCAGAAATAAAGTTACATTTTATGCAAGAAACATAGTTCTGTACTGTTTATGGAGCTAGTAAATGGATTAAGTAGTCATTACGCCAATTTGCAAGCACGTAGTTTTATTGCTTATGCACTACTAAAAATTTTAATCTCGCTTTGATTAGGTGATGAAAATTAAAATAACGATACGGCTTATCGTTGCGTACGGGCGTTTTAACGTCAATTACTATGTTTTTGGAGCGGAGAATTCTTAATATTGAGACTATGTTATGATGTGTCTTAACAACATAACTTATCTCTTTAAACAAATGAATTCTTAAGAATGATTACAATACTCAAAGAGGAGTCGAAGATGGTCACCGTTCTATTTTGTTGAAAGGTGACTCTTAGCTGCATATCTACCTTTTTACCAAATCAAGATTATTTTTCTTTATATCGAATTGAAGACATCTATTTGCATTTTATACGGTAGTTGATGACACTGGTTATGCTATTTTAAAAAATATTTTACAAACTGTAGTACCTGACCCTGTAGTTGATGCGAGGCGAACGGATTGACTGAAACCGGTGACGGCTGGTGAGGCAACGAAGTATGGGTAGAGCTTGGAGGACTCCTACCCATGCCACCGCACGCGCTTGCGTAGCTCAGACCTCCCGGCGGCTGGGTTAGCCATGTCCTGAAATAAAAATACAACATTATTAAAGGGAAAGAACGTAGTATATGTAAAAGGAGTATGAAGGATTAAGACCGGATTCATTGTACACCTTTTATCCGATTAATAGCTAACAAGCAAGTTGTAACCTTTCTTATGTTCTCAAATCCTAATAACCCTAATAAACTAATGCTGAATTTCCCCCTAGGAGTTTTAAGTCCAGACCTACTCCACGATAACCGATACAAAACACGTCCTTGATTTCCGGTACCTAGCCTGTCATTATATTATACTAGCTTTAGCCCGTGACTCCGTCAACGTAGAATTAAAAAAAATTAAAGTGAGTAGAGTAGTACCCTAAATGTTGTTCCAGCCCACCCGCAATAGCGGACGCGTCGCCTACCCGTAATCAACGGAGGAGGAGACGCACATAAAGAGGATATTTCCCCTTCCTGTGCGTCTCCTCCACCATCAAATCTACGTTCCCTTCCCATCATATTCTCGCGAAAAAGGGTGGGAAGGAAAAGGGACTCAAGTAGGCTTCCGGAACCACACTCTTCAGACCGTACACAGAATTGCTCCCACTTCACGCCTGTCTTCTGTGTGGTCGTGGTATTTCACTGGGCAAGTCGGCCCATTCGTGCGAGGATATAAAAGCGGGCTCTACCACTGATACGCCTCTCACTGAAAATTGTTCATAACTTGATAGAGCGCGATACCTAATTATTACAAGCGGTGAGCGGCCGCGTGTGCAGAACCGGTTTAGACGTAATCTCATGAGTCGTTGCGTTGTGAATAAATAGGCAGAGATAAAGTAAAGACTCCGCCCAGTGTACCTGCTCAACCAATGGCACACCGCGGCCAGCCAACTATTGTTTGCCATTAATAGATCGTGACTACGAACTTGACTTTCGTACATGCATTTAGATTCAGAATATTCACTGAATGTGATAGTCTATGTTTATCGCGGCTTGTGGCTCACTCACTCACTCGCTGTGTGTATCACCCCTCTAAAGACCTTATCCCTGCAACAGAGTGCTAGGTACTACCAGCTGAAGGGAAACGTGCCCAAGGGAGTACAATTACGACATCGATACTTAGAGCGGACGCACACATTTGATTAAACTATCGCACTGTTCAATTGTCGATTGTTTCACAGCTCATTCAACTGTTTAGTTGCACAAAAAATCATAGAAATCAAAGCGAGACTAAACAGTTGTGCAATAGTTTAGTTTCGGGATTGCGAATGCTCTTAGAAAAGTGTTAAACTTAGCGCGTTTTATAAAACTACGTTAAAAACTTTTGCTCTGTAATATTGAATTAGTGGATTGGGGTAGAATGCTCACGGACCTTTACAATGAAATTTTTATAAAAACTTTTAAGGATCTCTCCTTTCTTAATCTATGTTAAATGTAAGATAAGAGCATTGCCTTGTATTAAATATGTTGATTCCTAGTTAAAGAATGCTCATAGTAAATAATAGGGGTGTTCTAAAATGTAATTATAGTACCTACTTATAAAACACAAATCTTCGAAGTACGCGTTTAAAAATTATCTACATGTAACATACTCACACGTGGAAGACTTCGATATAAACAATATTTTAAATGCAATAATTGGCTATAAATTAAACTTAGTTCCTTTCATAACATAAAATGTTGTTTTAACAGTAAATGAAAACAAAAGTAAGAAGATATCGATTGTACCTAGCACAATTTAAATGAAAATATTTATTTTCTCGATGTAGATATCAGACACAACATACAAATTGATAATATCAAGGTCAAATTTGTATATACCTGAAGTTGTATAAACATGTTATGAGACAAATTATCACTATAACTTAATAGTTGAAGACACCGCATGGGGAACAGGAAGTATGTCCACAAATGTACCTATCACTAAATCATAAGCGTTTGTTTTGTAAATACGAGTATGAGAAACGTAAACATTTATTATAATTAATTTGTAATAATGTGTCACGGTTCGTTTATGAATATCATATAATTTGAATAACGTAATTATTAGAACTAAACTGTAATCTATTAGAAACAATTATTTTGCACTCAATTACGCTAAATTTAATCTAGATATGCGAATTAATATTATAAATGCTAAAGTTTAGATGGATGGATAAACGTTTGTTAGAACATTTTGTCTACATGAACGGATATCGATGAAATTTGGCATAGACATAGAGCATAGTCTGTAAAATCAAATAAGCTACTTTTTAAATTCCACGTGGATGACTCGCGGATGTAAGCTAGTGTGTGTATTAATATGATCATGTAATCGAGAGCAATACTACAAGTCAAATATTTAAAGGAGAAAAATTTTAAATGCTGCCCTCGTGATCTTTTAAAAATACTTAATTTATCCTCATACAAGAATCTGTGCGCAAATTCAATGTTATTTCATCGAAGAGATTCTTTATCTTTCAATGGCAGATAAAACTAAAAAAAAACCTAAGTGGGAGTGACTGAATAATAAAAAGTCAAGTTAATATTATTATCCGAGGTTATCGCGCGGTGACAATAACAAGTGCTACGAAAACACATTGCAATTACCACAAATTAATTTGACATCATATACATATATTTTTTGTATTCACTAGCAGTGTTTTATGATTTCACTTGACAAAAGTTATTATAAACATTAGATTAGTAATTATGAGATTAGCAAGTGCAAATCTAGACTAAAAAACAATGTTTTTTAGTTTTATGCTATACGTTCATAAACCACGGAATGAATTTCAATTTCAGTTTGGTGAACCATTCTGAAAACGGCAGTCAACGGATTGTGCTCTAACGAAATTGAAAATTAAAATACCATATATATTTTTTTCACATTAGGTATTGCGATTACTTTGACTTTGCAACGAATGCCAGGGTCAGCAAGTATATAGATAAATTATATTTGATACCGACTGGCTTTTAGGGTTAAAGATAATAGTAATGGAAATACGGTATAAGATTTTTAATGTTATTTGTGTTCTTTTTTACGTACAACTTGTGTATTACATAGCTCCAGGAACAAAGTCCAAAATTCTTCTGTCTAAACCATTGCATGTCTTTAGTCTTTTAAGAACCTAAAAGCTTTTTTAGTAAATACATGTCTATCTAAGCCTAAGGCCTAATTTAAGTCCCTTTCTCTTTACCATCCTTTTCTTATAAGGACAGGATAGGAAGAGGAAGTGGATTTGACGGTGGAGGAGATGCATAGAAGGGGAAATATCCTCTCCTTATGTTATAAAAAAAATCTTACGTGTCATATCTCGGATAGGATGGTGGATATGGTGAGCTTGATCCGAAGTAATTCCTGGCGCCCAACGGGAGAGATTGCATGTGGGCGTGCTGCGCCACGTGGGTCACGTGGTAGCCGTCGCCGAACAAAGTCTTCGTGTACGGCGTCGCCCGGAAAGGTCGCTTCATCCTGCGACGCCGCTTGTAGTTCCCTCCCTCGAACATTCCCCTGCATTGCGGATCTAAAACAACACTCAACTGACACAAACGTAATCGCTAATTTAAACTAACGCGCAATACATCGCCAGCATTTCGCATTGTCTATGATCGCCAGTTGCCTTTACCTTCGCAATGCTACACAGCACACGCACAAAACATCGTTTCACAAATAAAAAACAAGAGCACATCAGCGATATCAAACTTACCAAGAGTCCAATAATTTCCCTTCCTTTCCCCACCGCCCTCTCGTGGCACCTTAATAAAGCACTCATTAAGACTCAAATTGTGCCTTATAGAATTCTGCCAACCCTTTTTATTCTTTTCGAAAAATGGGAATTCTTTAGTTATGTAAGCATATATCTCACTAAGCGTTGCCCGCTTGGATTGGCTATTTTCTATGGCCATTGTTATTAAGGCCACGTAAGAAAAGGGTGGCTTAGTCAATGCTTGCGACGTTGGCGTAGTCGACTGTGGCTTTATTTCCGAAGAGCTTCCACCGGGGCTTGATGGCGTCGTGGACTTTGATTTTATTTTCGTTTCACTGCTGGAACGACCACAAAAATAACAATAAATAATAAACAGATCACACAAATGTAGAGAATTGTCTCACTCTAAAAGAGTTAAAAAAAATTCGCAAAGGTAACACATAAGAGAATTTAATTGATATCAAACATAACAAATATGAACAATCTGTCGCATTTGCCGCCATTAAAGTGTTAACAACTATTAACTTAAACAGCCTAATTTGTTAGTATAGTAAATTGTACTCAATGTTTATGAAATAATTGTCAGATATTAATAACAACTGTGTAATACGTGATATGACTGCACTGCTTACCTGTTAGAATTTGTGGTATCATCTCGGGAAAGTCCTGGCATTGTGAGTGTTTGATACACCCGTGACAAATCCTCGTCCGATTTCACACTCTGGGAGCTGCTCGCATTAACGCCATTGTTTTCTTGGATACAGGTCCGGTTGTCGTATGGCGACGAACCTGGTAAATATTGTAACATATTGAAAACCTTTCCATTTATAATACTAACTCTTGCTCGTGACTTCAAAAAGAAAAAAACTGAGTATTTTGCTATCTATTCCATGAGTGTTTTAGATTTTCCTAGGACGAACAGTTAATACGATTAGCCTATACGATATCCTATGCAGTTTTCAGTTAGATCGTTACAATCGTTTTAAATTTGGCAATTAAGAATTTGGCACTTCCTTTTTTTTCTTATTATCGTTCCGTACCTTCTTCGAATGAAGGAAGATGTAACTATTTTTATGTATATGTATGAAAGTGTATTGTAAATCTGTATTACATGTTATTGTGTTATTGTATTTAACTGTTGAGATTTAGCCAATCTTACACGTACGTGACTCCCGACATGGATTTCGTGGAATTCTTCGCTTAGCTTTGTAGGTAACTAAACAAGCACACACCAGATCGTAACCTACTTGAAGCGGTTAACAATGACGTTAACATATCAAAAATATACGAATTATTATGAATCAATCAACAAAAACACTATTAACAGACACAAATTACACTTGTGTAAATAAATAATGGTTTTTTCTGCTTTTTGCTGCCAATGGTGATATTGTAAAAATTGGTTAAGGGTATTACGGCAGTAGCTAAAGGTTTTTTATTCTGTTTTTTTTTTCTTATAAACATATTTGGTGCATGTATTTTGGCAGTAAAAATGTTAATTGATAGATGACAATAAATATTAAAATTGAAACAAATTCATAATATACCGAGAAATAATTATAAAAATATTTTTTCAGGATACTAAAAGAGCAAGTATTTGTTGTAATTGATATGTTTTTAATTTGTGAAATTTTAAAATATTGTTCCATTTTTAAATTAAAAACATTATTTTTTACTTTTCTGAGAAAAATTGGCATTGTTATTTAATATCAACTGATACTGTTCGTGTTGCAAAAGCAGTTTTATTTTTATTATAATAAACAATGTCCGTGTTCGTTCAGTTACAAGTGCGGTAGAGAAAAATGACATCATATAAACATGACATATGTTCTTTGCACTGTAATTTTATGGTCACAAGTCATATTGCATCTACACTATAATCGAATAAGGATTGCCTAAGTGATAATTTATTACTTTTCGAATGTTTTAATTAAACGAATCAGCGACAACTAAATTGACCCGTAAATTTCAATCCATGTTTTCATTTTACCGATATTAACTTTCTTTTAAGAAATCGGTAAAAAATGGTAAAAAGCCCACAATTAACAAGTTTGTCATTTCGTTTGTATATTATTGTTTGTATGTTATGACCATAATTTATAAATAAAAACATGATATTTCTCTTACTCAGTCTCTACCTCCCCTTACAATGCTAGGGTCAACTTTATGTATCCCCGGATCGATTTTCACTGATCGTTACAACTTGACATAGACGTATTTGGTTTCAAAGCCCCATTATTACACAAGCTTATTTTTGCATCCAATCTTGACATTTATTGCAGGAAAAGTAGTAGGACTATATTCGTGAATTATGTATTATATTTTATTTATAAAGAATGCTAGCTGTCGCCCGCGACTCCGTCCGCTTGGAATTAAAAAAAAAACAAAAGTGAATGGCCTATGTGTTCTTCCAGACTATCCTCTACATCTACTCGTATACCAAATTTAATTGAAATCCCTTCAGCCGTTTAGGCTACAAACTCTAACAAACATCCATCCATGTTCACTTTCGCATATTATAATATTAGTATAGTATGATTAATATGTTTAAATGCATGGACTGAAATAACGAATACATCTGGATGAACAAAACTTGATGTGGTGAACTCTCACGGAGTGGAATACGAACAGAAGAGACCATTTAATAAAAATGTTGTATAACTCAAAATATGTTAAGTAACACTTTGTCTAATAAAGGATCATGTGGCAGAATAATGAAAGATTCTACAATTGCCAACAAATATCCTGACAATTTACTTGCATCGAAGAATGCGTCAGACAGTGGCCGCGCGCCGAGGTAGTTGCATATCGGATTCGAGCAGGCCGCGAACACGGCACGGTATTGTGTCGCTTATAGAACAATGCGTCGTATTTATAAAACATTAAAAGCCGGCGTATCGTTCGTGAAATTAATAACAAATAACAATTGTGAAACGTTAGTTCGGGACCAGTGTGAATTACCTATGCCGTTGAATAACTTACTACTCAACGTTGAGATTTTCACGCTGGATTCTGTTATTTTTTTCTTATTTTTGATTACGTTCGTTAATCGAACATTTTGTAACAACTGTTTGAACATTGTTACTATGTGATTATGAAATCAAAGCATAACTGATGCATTTTTAAACTTTCTAACACTTGATTATTATCATATTTAATATTATAAATCCGAAAATTTAGATGGATGTTTGCTAGAGTTTGTAGCCTAAATTGCCAAACGGATTTCGATGAAATTTGGTATAGATGTAGAGGATAGTCTGGAAGAACACATAGGCTGGCCTGGCAAAAAAAATCAAAGTTTTTTTTTTAATTTCACGCGGACGGAGTCGCCAGGCGCAAGCTAGTAATTAACTAAATATGGTATTAAAAATACATGAAGCGGCAAAACTATAATCCCGAGTCTCTAAAAAAAGAAAATTATAATATTTTTGAACATAACGCAAATGAAGTAGACATTTTCCTTAAGAACCATAATGACATCGGGTATTAAAATAAAATAAAAAATCGTGAATAATGCTGATACAAAAAATGGAAATCTGGTGAAGAATTATACTCGGAAAAACATAATAATAAAGATAGTTACATTTCTTGTTGTGAAATACGAATATAATTGATAACAACCAATTTATGAGTAGGGAACTCTTCCCTCGCCGCCTGAAGCTGGTAATATGATCTTTTGCTTCAATTAGTGAATCCGACTTTAACAGAGGTTAAACACCTGGAGGCATTATTATCAAACACCTGGTCAGAGCTCTGCAAAGTACTTCGAAAATTTCGAAGTAAATTAAATCGTCTATTTTCGGAAATCATTAATTACGAAACAAAGAGTGATTTTATTTATTTGCCTTTACATTTTAAGTTTGTATTTTAGAACACCACGAGACAAATTCGGAGAAAATCCTCCATTTTTAGATTCATTAATTATAATTGGAATTGTGTTTTTGTTTTTTTAATATTTTTTTTTTGTTTTGCTTCCTGGTTTCCCTACATTTGTTTTTAGTATTTACAAAAAGGAACGACAGGAAATTGTTAGAAATGTTAAAACTTTCCTTTACGGAGTGAATTGTTATTTTTTGGTACATTTCTTTTCAAAACAAAGTTGCATTTTATTGATCTCTACTTTACAATTTTGATTTTTAGATTTTTATTTTTAAATGGAGTCAATATAATATTTTGGATACTGAGAGATCATTACTGTTAAATAATAACTAAATTTATGTAAAACCGTCGAATGTGTATAGTTTTTAACCCATCGTGTTTTTAGTTTTAAAAGATTTATGTATAAAAACGTTATTTATAGATTTTTTGAGTTTTGAATTTTTCTCTTGTATTTAGCTAAATAATGCACTATTTTACTACGATAACATTAATTCAAGATAATTTTAATAACCTTACTAATCTTATTTTACAAATATTATAAATGCGAAAGTTTAGATGGATGGATAGATGAATGTTTGTTAGAGTTTGTAGCTTAAATATCTGAACGAATTTCGATAAATTTTGACATAGATTTAGACGATAGTCTGAAAGAACACATAGGCTACCCACTTTTGTTTTTTTCAATTCCACGCAGACGGGGTCACGGGCGAAAGCTAGTGTTCAATAAATATTTACACTTTTTATGATTTCAACATAATCTTTGATTCTCGTGAAATTTTTACTTGTGCTTTCAGCTTTACTGGGATCAACAGAATTCAAACATTTACACTTTAAATTCTGCTTTTCATTTCGATTCGGACGTGTACCCATTTTATAGACAAAGGCTGAAGTACGAATTTTTATTTTTCAAATGTTTAAAATCTGTATAAAACAATAATCATAAAACGAAAGAGCTTGTCAAAGGTATTGTCAGCTTTTCCGATTAAAAGAGAAACTTTTTTTACTGTTTTTTTTTTTCATGTCGAATGTTCAAAAAAAATCTTGTTTTTTTTTAAAATTGCAAAAACCAGCGCTTGACCACTATCCCTAGACCAACGTGAAGATGTGGTCGAAGGATGGTACGCGCTAGTTTAGTAAGTTAGCTAGTTCGCCGACAAGAGTTAATTTCTAACGATGTGTTTAAACACAGGTCATCTCATTACTCGTCTATCCACTTTATTTACATAAGCTTTAAAAACTAAACAACGAGGAGCTAATAGCTAATAGATTTACATTATATAAACACGTACCTATTGTTTAGTGAATATTTTAGTAATAAAACTCAGGTTAACAATATTTTTACAGACTCCAATATTATTGATATTTAAATCATTAAATATTCTTTACTGGAAATGTTTGTTATATGTCTTACGTCTTCAATATGGCAACCTATAAACAGTTAACGTAAGATGTTAATTTTACTTTGGAAGTTTTGATGGTAATTACGTTTGTCTTTCTTAAAAAAAATCTCTCAGCGGTACAGTAAAATTTCCTGTGCATATTTTTTAATACATATTCATATTTTTTTTTAAATACAACGTCACATTGCACGCACTTAATAAATATATCTGAAGCCACGCGTTTAATATATACAGAGTGAACGTGTAACAATAATCATTCTTTTTAAATTTTTTCAACCTCTAATTTTAAAAGTTGCCCTTTTTACGAGTACCTTTGTACTTTCTACATTCTATACTAGCTGTTGCCCGCGATTTCGTCTGAGTGAAATTAAATAATATTAAAAGATTGCCTACGTTACTCAGCGATTACGTAGCATTTTAATGTTAAAAGAGTTTTTGAAATCGGCCCAGTTTTTGTGTTATTTAAATATATACAAAAATTCAAACTTTTAATCTTCATAGTATTAGTAT